AGAACAACAGTGTTTTAATGCACATTTTGGTAAGAAAATCATGTCAAGACTATTTCTTCAATATCATTAGACGTATAGATAGGCTTTGTAAACATTAAACAGACCAATTTAAAAAATAATTAATTAAATCCAGAGACCAGTAATAAGTCTCATTCTACTCTCTGCATACAAATATGTAAATGCAAACTTCCGCCAATACAAATGAAACAGAACGTGTGCTCAAGGCTTCTGGTTCATTGCGATATGTGACATATAGGAGAATGAAATGAACCTTGTTAATTTCTTAACAATTGAACATGTAAGTGTTCCAAAAGATAACCATTTTATAAAACATATTTTTCAATGTCCAAACGGTGTACTTGCTTTGCTATTATATTCTGTCTTCCTAGTTGCTATCATGCCATCAAACCCTTTGTACTGTTATTTCATGATATTGACTCTGAAAGTTTGCATTTAAATATACAGCAATGATCTTATTTTTTATTGTTGTTTATAAAGAAATCATCAGATCCTTTTTGTGTCAGTTTTGCTTACCAGATAACCCTGACAATCAATGATGGCAGTCTCAAAAAATCTTAAATTTTTTCATGAAAATAAACTTGAAAATTCTGTAGCTATATGTTGTGCTCATTTCCCAATTTAGACCTTTGTTTTCCAAAACCAAAAAATGTACATTACATATAACGTGGGTTTTTATGGTATGTCTGAACATATCCACTCAGTGGTATCATACCTCTAAGGTATACGTCTGATTTTGGTGGTCATTGGTCAAGGTTAAAGGTCAAGGATAATTCAAGACCACTTTGCAAATAAAAAAGCTTATGTACAAGATTTGGGGTTAGGGTATATCTATATATGACACTGCTTAATTTGTTTTTGTTTTTATTTGAAATAATTTTTGAATAAATTTAACATTCTTCTAAAAAGATTAGAATGAAGCCCTTATCTGAAAAGCTATTTAGGTATTTGAAAAAAGTAATAATCAGTTTGAGTGTTGGCTACCAATTTTAAATAAATCTGCAGCAATTTAATGGTTTCTTCACTGATATGGATTATGTCATGGTTTTGTTGAATGACATTAAATAATGGGACACACATCTGAACGGTTGGTGGTTCAACGTGTGCATTCAACCTGGGTAGAAATTGGCATGTTTCTTTTCACATTAATGGCATCAGAGTGGCGCATAAATGTCAAGAGTATTGGGATTGTTTCATTAATATTTGATAAATCTGCCATTGTTAATTATGAAAAAATGATCACTGAAGACCAACAGTCTTAATTAATATGGGTGAATGCTGCGACAGATTCTACTGAATAATACATGTCCTTATTTTGTATTGTAAGTATTTTGTTGTTTTCTTTAAGCTTTAGTATGGTTACCAGCTCCTAATCTTTTGAGAAGTACCACCCAAGTATATTTTCCTTCTTGCTAATCTCCCCTTAGAAGAAATTATCAATCTCATATCTTTTTCAAATTCAGGCATCTAGACAAATGGATCAATACCTAAGATTGTACATATGTGTTAAAACTCCTTATTTAAATGAGTCTTCATAAATGTACACTTGTCAGAAAAGTTTTGTCGCTTGTAGTATTAGTTTTTTTCCTTGTGATAAACGAACAAACAAATGAATCATATTAAACATCTTGATAGCTTTGTAGTCACATGATACTATCAGTGTATAGGTTGAGGAATTAGATATTGAAGGGAAAAAAACATCATAAATCGTGGTTTGGTGAGAAAATCTTGTTTAGTTCTTCAAAATTATTTACAATGACAAAAACAGAAGATGTTAGCAGAGATTACTTCAAATGATTTGTGCTATCAACAATATTTATATTTGATAAGGTATGATAAGCTTTAAGTACGCTGATGCGATAACAACTTCTTCAAGGTATTTACTATTCAGTATAGGGATGTTGTTTGATGATGCATTAAGATACAGGGGAACCAGACCATGCAAAACAAGATTTTGTCAGTATGGATACAACGGGAAACAGTCTACGTAAAACAAAGACTTGTGGTATACAAGTGTTTACATGGATGTGGATGAGGCTGACCTAGAATTATAAGTGCTCCTTAGGGCGTTAAGTGGCCCCTTCCTTTTGAGCCACCAATTAGCGTTTGGTGTAGTACTGGTTGTGTCACAGGTGATGGGACACCTGTCTTACCAACACTAGGGGCCCTATATACATTGTAATGATACATTAAGGTAATGTTCTACCTGTAGTAGCCCAAGGGTTAAGGGTCGTGGATACACAGTTACACTAATCACCATCACACAGGTAATCCTGCAGGTGTTTCGGGCGGAGACATTAAAATCTAAGTTATATCCAGCTTTGATAGGTTTTATTGATTTGAAGGTTTTAACTAAAAGTAATCAGAAAGTCCATTTTCAAACAAATGCGTTGAAAGAAACACTGAGTTGAAAAAAAATCTGCACATATTGCAGAAGGACACATTTTTGTGTTTGGTACCATGTTTGGTGGAAATATGTATACACTTAATCAATAAAATTAATGTTTAGTGAGTGTTTAATTCTGCAGTGCTTTTTTTTGCCATGAATTGCATTGTTGAAAAGGTTAAAGAATCAAAGTTTGTTGGAAAATTTATAGGTATTCTAGGATATGTAACATTGAATCAAATAAATAACTTCATTGTGAGTTATCATTACTATGCAAATTGTACATGCAAGTTCTCTTCATGTATAATTGACCAATGTAATTTGTTGTTACATCACTACCAGGTTGCTAATTAGTGCAGCAGTTGACAGGTGGAGTGTACTAAAGTTACCCTGCCTGGTTCGTGGTGACATGTAATTAATGGATGGGCTTGCGTCTTAGCCCTGCCAGTAATGCTGACAGATTGAGCCCTAAAACTCAGGTGTATTTGTTGTCACAATATACTTATCACAGTCATGTATGTTAACTAGGTCTATATTTAGTAGACTCTTATTTATCAAACATTTCACGGGTGTCAAATCCTGGCTGGCATACTTTTACATAGTGGTAATTACTCTGAAAAGGCCACTTTACACTCGAAAGACCTGTTTTAACAAGGAACTATCATAGGATTAGACTAGTGTTTATGTGATTAGCAGTGGGGCGATGAAATACACATACATCGTTGATGTAATTACCACAAACAGAGGTAAAACGCAATATAATTCCTATTTAAAAAAGAGGGCTTGCTTCAGAATGAATACTGTATTCACCTGTCATTACCGTGTGTGACAGGTGTCACAAGTACTACCTGTGGGTATACCTGGCACCTGAAAGGTGAAGGTAGTCCTACAAGTATTGTATTTTCGGTCAATACTTCATTGTAGGGCCTAGAGTGGAGGACAGCTTTAAACCGGCCCTTGACGCCGAGACACCTCCCAATCATAGAGACTTCAAAGTCACTATGCACATAGTTTTCATTCAGATATGTAGTGACTGATTTATCAAAATTACATTCATTTTAACAAGTGATCTGATGCAATTTTCTGCATTTTTGAGTAAATTTGGTGAAAGAGATTTCTGCGTGTTTCTTTGAAGCAATCACACAGTCTGTGGTTCACATGTTAATGAACCATAATTTCTGATTATGTGTTTCTTAAAGTGAATTTGTACACAGCTCGGGTAGAATGTTTATCTTTGTTAGTCTGTACAATAGAATGTTTGTTTGAATTAAAAATGTTTACCTTTTTATTAATGGATTTTTTTCATAACTAAACATGGCAAGAAAAGTGACAAATTGTTCTTGGATTTTATCCAGTGTTTAATCTTCGACATAATACTTCAGGTGGAAAATTGTTAGATGAATGAAAATTTCAAATCAAATATTAGATTGCGAAACATATTATGAGAAAGCTTGAACTTGTGTACAAAGATATATGACTATAGTTAAGAATATTGGGGTTTATTTTCTGATAAAATTTGGTCCATAAATAATTCTAGAACATAACATTTAATATGGAAGATTGACTTTATTTCCTGTTATAGGTTTGGTTCAAGAGAAGTTGGGATTAGCCTGTACAGTCTTGTTGAAAGTCACCAACAAGGTGTACATACTTGTACATTCTTTTTAATATAAAATCCAAAACACACATTTATTACTGACATTAATTTGACTGTAAATCAGGAATATTGACCTTTTGTATGTTTAGGCTGAGTCAATATTTAAGCTTTTCTTTGTCAGTGTGGTGAGAGGGGAGAAGAGGGGGGTTGGGTAATAGAAGGTACATGGGATAATGAAGGGCAAGTGAAATCAAGTTTATGATAAATAGCACATTATTTATGAAAGTACCTGATTTTGAGTGCCATGACTATGTACATGAAGGCATTACAGAAATCTTGTTTGCTTTTAGTTACCTTACCATCCCTATTTTTAGTGCCTATTTTTTATCATAATTTATGAGGTAGCCCTTCTAAAGTCTTGATTACCTTCTTAAGTACATGTAAGATATGAAAATATTGTTTGCCCATCTACAGATATCTTTTTGTTTGGCTCGATAATTAGATATTAAGATCTCAATATGTTTGAATTTATTTTCTTTGCATTCTGGAATGAATGTTAGTAAAAATAAAAGTTTTGCAGACTTTTGGAATTATTGAATATGTTTTGTATTTAGAAAACTATGGAAAGAAGTTTATGTAAAGTATTAAACAATATTGACTGTCATAAAGGCAACAGGGTGTTTAATTTGCCCTTATTGGGCTTGAAAATGTTTAGAGTTAAATACTCGACCACTTAGGTTTTCTCCTTACTCTTTGGTTTCGTTATCACACTAAGGCACATTTCATGCATCCATTCGGCCAACAGATGATTCCCCTTTTTATAATGGTTGTGAAAAAGAATATGCTTATGGTATGATTAATTCATGATTGTTTGGAGTTGAACTTGTCAGAAAAGTGAAAATATTAAGTACAATTGGTAGATATCATAATCACAGAAGAGTTTAGATTATTTGTTTTTGTTTTAATTTTAAAGCATGTGGTATTTTTTTATATTTGCAGGCGATCCATTCCTCATATTTGCGAATCGTAAAGATGTCCAGTTGGTACAGGTACAAAATGGTAACGGAAACACAACCATCCTTGTTGATGGATTAGAGGATGCGGCTGCTTTGGACTTCTACTATGCAGAGAACTCAGTCTTCTGGACGGATGTGAGCCTTGAACTGATCAAACGAACATGGATCGACGGGGCTCGCACAAGTGTCAGTGTCATTTCGTCTGGACTTGTATCTCCTGACGGATTGGCATGCGATTGGCTAAGCCGCAAACTTTACTGGGCAGACTCTGAAACAAAACGAATTGAAGTTAGTAATTTGGATGGAGGGCATAGAAAGGTTCTACATTGGCAAGATTTGGACCAGCCCAGGGCAATCGCATTGGATCCACTACATGGGTAAGAGCTGCCAGATTGAGCCGTATTCCAAAATCACTCCTTTTTTTTTTGTTTGCTTGTTAAACCTTTTCATTGATAAAGAGACTAGGAGATAAACTAATACTTATCTTAGCAATGTAAGCTCGGAAAAGTTGCTTTCTTGCTCCAAAATGCAGCAAATTTCTGTGAAAAATATGGTTAAAAAATGTTGTTACCCAGGTATTCACATATAATTATATTCTGTCTGTTCCATTTCTTCGATTTTGTGTTATCACTCCAATAACTGAATTTCAAAGCAGGTTTTGAGCAAATCTCATGGAGTAGGTCACCTGGAAACAGATTGTAATCAATTAATTAATGATATGGGAATTACCACAGAGGAATTCATTAGGGTGTTCTGATGTCAAGGCAACTATTGTCAAGGCAACTATTTACAGAAATCTCAGAATGGTTTGCATGAATGGCAGACATTTTCCAGTCCAATGTGAGTGTGACTTCAGTTCAAGACTGATTCTAAGTTTAAGAAATTTTATATTTTCAAATCCAGAAGGGAGCAGAAAGGATAAAGGATGTTGATAAAGGATACTCCATTCTGAATGTGATGCACATGAAATGTTTTTGCATCAAACTAGTTGAAAGGATTTATCAGAAGATTTTAAATCATTACTATCTTAAAATACATAAAATAAAAAGACCAGTCATCTAAATGGTGATGGCGATGTTTAAAGGTGATTAGAAGTTGATGAAATTTTGGAACTAACATAGTGTTATCACATGGTGGATGTGGTTGGCCGAGATCGATGCTGACAGCCGTCTACTTTTACACAAGGTCCAGAGGTTGAACTGTAACATTATAGGTAGTGACAGGAAACCGGAAAGAAAAAATGATCAAGTTTGATTCCATGACTTAAAATGCTGTTAAATAGCTGATGCTATGTTTAGAAAGTTGTCTAGCTCTGCATTCTCTGCTTATCAGGTGTTTGGCAGTCGACCCATGAAGGGTGGGAAGGGGTGGTCTTGAGAATCATAACTTGACGCAAAACAAACAAACAACATATGTGTTGAGGGAAGAAAATGTTCTGTAAAAAATATTAAAGGAGAAAGGATTACTGAAAAGAAACTGATTCTTGCAGAGTATAGATTTGGATTTAAATTTTGGTACATATCGAGATGATTGATGATCATACATTGGCACATGACTGCATTGAGTTGGCTCAAATATGTTCATAACATTTAGCAAATTTTAATTTTAATTTAATGCAATATTGGTATTGAATTAAAGATATTGACTTCAATCCATAAGTTTTATTATTGTTTTCACTAATTAATGTATTTTTTAATTAATCTCTTGGAGTGAAAGATACTTGCAGATTAAAACATTGCCAATATTTGGATGGGGGAAATCTGTAGGTTAAAATGAAAATAATAATTGTTTCCGCCAATATTGATCTGTTTAGAATATAACTTGTGGTGTTGTGTTATGGAAACTTTTTTTTTTTTTTTTTAATGTTTACTGGAATATTATAAATCAAGATATCCATGTTGACAACTAAACATTTTTTGCTTTAAATATTCTCATCAAAATAAAAGAATACGAGACAATAAACTGGAATCATTGGGAAAAGCAAAAATCCAGTTAATTTTATAACAGAACTTGTATATCTGTGTGTGTATTTGATTAAATCATTTTAGGCATGATCATGATTTGGTTAAAGAAAACAAATATTCACAGAAATTAATATCAAACAGTTACGGACATTCAAGTTTGTCACTTTTACAGAAAATGAAACAAGATCTTTCGATATTATTTAATCTGTACAAGTTTTGAGACAGGAAACTGAAAACTAGAAAACAAGATAATCAAATTAAGAAAAAGCAGCAGGATTTATTTTTACATATACCAAGACTTTAAAGCTGACAAATCTTGGTGTGTCCCAGATAACGACTGTTGCACAATACACATGCAAAACCTTTGCAAGTGCATCCATCAAATATTCTTCAACACTAGATAACAGTTGATATGCTAGCAAGGTAACGTTGACAGGAGGCTATGCAGAGATGTAAATATTGAAATAATAGTTGTTATTCTCCAAGGTGAAATTGAGCAGTAAGAGAAGCTGGATATGATTTAGAGATAGTGTAGCCAAGGGGTTGTTTTAAAGAAAATGCATCTATTAACTTGTTATTGCATTTTTACTGTGTGTTATGTGTAAAAGCAATCTACAGTCTGATATACTGGATTGTCACTCTGAGAGAGATGGTACAGAGAAAGCACTATTTCTTAGAGCTAATGCTTGGAAACATTTCTTTAAGTAATGTTGGGTAATTCTACTTGTCTCACACTCAAGAAATAAGGTACATATTTCTTGGAGTGAATTTCTGGTAAATTTCTGTAGTACTGTCACTTTGGGAGAGATAACACAGAGAAAGCTGCATTTCATAGAGGTGATATCTTAAATTTAATTAGAGCATTCTGCTGTATCATGACCTATAATTATTTTGACAACATTACAAAGCTTCATCAAAGATTTTGAATTACTTGTGAGTGTCTGTCTCAGAATTAATCCATAGAAAACTAAAAATCATCTGTTTTTTTAAAAGTAGAATAAGTGATATTGATTCTGTGACATCATTCTGATTTTAACTCGTCAGGAGGGTACATTTAAGGCAATATGTTGTTGTTGTTTCAGTGATACAGCACTTAAAATTGTGAACTTTGTGTCCATACCTGTTAGTAAAGTGTCATGTCTTGTCCATTTACAATGATGTGAAAACTGAAGAAAATATTTTGCTGTCACTTTATTGTTGTATTGTCTAATACAGAAACAATTGTAGTGTTCATATTCAGTTTTTGGCTCGGGGACAAAAGAACATAAAATTTCTTCGTTGGCAAATAGGGATGGAAGGATCTTATCAAGGAGAAATTGAATCATGCTCATGTTTTAAAATGTAATACCTTTGGCAACATATCTTCTTAAACATTTTTAAAAAGTTGGTTACACGACAACACATAAAAACATATTGAATAATAATGAATTGTTAGACCTACTGATGATTTAATGGAAATGTGCCTTATCCAAAAATTGATAAAAGGTAGAATGTTTTTTACCCAGCAGGTCTAGCACCTAAGATGAGTTAAAATTGTTACTAGGTACATAGTCTTAAATGTAGGCCTTTTTTGGATTGAGTCCTTTTCTCTTTTGTAAGAAAATGAAACAACTAAGAACTTAATTTCCAGATGTAAACTGGAAATTTTAAGAATTATGCATTTATATAGCAAGAGAGATTTCTGTAATGACACTAATCAGCCATAAACGGCTCTAAGTAAAAGCTCTATAAACCATTAAAAGACAGAGTTCAATTTCTACTTTCACTTTGTACATATATAATTTTTGCACCAGGTTAAGATTTTGTTCTACTTTCACTTTACAGATACATGTACTGGACCGACTGGGGTGAAACACCCAAAATAGAGAGAGCGGGTATGGATGGCAACCAATCAAGCAGATCTGTGATAATTCATGAAGAAATTTTCTGGCCCAATGGGTTAACACTAGATTATGATGAGTCAAAAATATACTGGGCGGATGCCAAGCTCAGTTTTATACATAGTAGTGATTTTGATGGTCAAAATAGACGTGTAGTGATAAAGGATGAGCTACCTCATCCATTTGCATTAACTTTATTGGGTCCGACCCTTTACTGGACCGATTGGGAGACACGGTCAATACATTCTTGTGACAAATTAACAGGTGACAATCGCAAGGAAATATTACATGAGGTTTATTCTCCGATGGATATACATGTTTACAGTGCTAGAAGACAGCCTAAAGGTAAATATTCAAAATCAGAAAGATCTTCATATTCTTTCTTCAGTTTACAAGCAAGACTTGGTAGGGTTAGAGCTTAAAGTGGCCCTAATATATATTAAATATTGGCATTGTAAAAAATGTATCAAAATAAGTCCCAAAAAAATTTCAGCACATGCAATCGCAATAAAAAACGTCATCCTCTTCGTTAAATCCACTTGTAACTTTGAAAATCTACTTTCGGGGCCGTGATCAAATTATGAGGTCAGTGATGTCAATCTGGTAAAGTAGTGGTTCCCTTATCTTTTTAGTTATCAGAAGCTACATCTTTCATCAGAATTTTAATACTGTGGATAAGGAAGTTTTGTTTACTATCTGATGTAACACACTCGTAGTTCAATATGTTGGTAAAGGTTGTCAACATTTTATATATTTCACTGTCATATCCATGGCGCCATTTTTTCAAGCTACTCATGGATTGGGATTAATATAGCTGTCTTTAAATATAGAATTTAAACGAAAATCATCCTACAGTATTATTGAGATGGTATCTATCCCTTGATTTTGTTTCCTTTAAAGTTATTTTTTTATTCTTTGTTCAATGCCGACATTTAAACCAATTTCAGCTCTAACCCTACCAAGTCCTCTTTAGAGCAAAATATTTCAGAAATCAAGACAAGTGTTTTTGCTTATTTTTTCAGGAAATGCTTTTTTTTGCAGTGTGAAGTATTCTTTTAACATCAATTCAAGACGAAGATTTGTTTGTAAATTGTGTAAAATGGTCACTCTTATAACATATTAAATATTGGAGCAAAAGTCAATCTTGCTACAGGTTGGAGAGTGAGTTGTATTCATTTCAGATGACTGGAAATCTTCTATACTGTCTAATCATCTATTGTATGTTCAGTAAATAAGCTCATGTCTAATTCACCCATATCTTATACTGATCACCTAAATGTTAACAAATGCCATTTGTGCCGTAATAAGCCCACCCTGAAGTTTGAATTGAATGTTATGTTGTTCCCTTGGCTTATTGCAGGATAAATATGGGAACATTTTTCTACTGTCAGACTCATAAGTTTTTACCTGATTATTTAGCTTACTGTTTCATTATGGTGTCGATGGGGAGGTAGCTTTCATTTGTATTTGGGTCAAAAATATCCATGAAAGAAGGTCAAAGTCGCACCCTTTATACTATTTAAGTTACTACCTGCTGATTGAATCTTAACTGTAGTAAGTCATATCCGATAGGCAGAAAGGAAGCACCTGTCACATGTAAAAGGACAGCAATATGTCCCAATGTGCTTTTACTGATCAGAAAGCAAATGTTTAAAGTTTTAAGAGACTGTGATGGATTACTTTTACTGATCAGAAGGCAAACGTTTATAGTTTTAAGAGACCAAAAAATTAACCTGGCATTATCACCCCTTGGATGGCCGGGGTCAAGATTAGGAAGGTCCTCTTTGTAGTAGCTGATTGATACCACACTGAATAACATACTGGAGGTCCATGGCTTGCCGCCAAGAGCATTTTGGGTAAAGTATCTCGCCCAAGGACAAAACAATGTCAGCAAAGACCAGTCCATTTCTCAGTAGCTTTATGAGAAACACAAACTTCCAACGGTAGGGAGCGTCCAACCATGCACGGATTTTCACCCGAGGTTGCATGTACGAACGCTGTACCACCTGAGCTATGGCAGCCCTGGATATGTGGCTCTGATAGATTTTTACATATGATTGGTTTTATGCTGTACATGTATAGTAAAATGTCATGTGAAAGTTCAGACATTTTGAGTGTAGCTCATTGGGCACAAATTGAGTAACGACATGTACGTGTCAGCATGTTAATTTAGCAATTTGACAGCAGCTGGGAAGGTTGTGCTCACAGACTTTATTTCTGAAATTCCATAATTTTTCAGGATAGAAACCGTATTGCTGAAACTTGAGAAGAAATTTTTGTTATCATTATACCATCAATTTATTTTAACAGGAAAAGAATTTGAATCTTTTAAAGTTAATGCTTTTCACTTTTTAGATAATTAAAAAAATTCAGAAAAAAGTATGTAAAAATAAAATATCACTTTATTGATTTATGTATGATTTCAATGTAGGTTGTATGGGAAATGTTTTTGAGGTTGATTTCTTCCTACTTAAGTTTTCTCAATGTTTTATATATTTTGATTCTACTGCTGATAAAACTTTTTTAATTGAGAAGGCAACGAATTGCTTCTGCTGGAAGGTGTTAATTGATTTGTAAGCTTGGCATGTATTGCAGGCTTGAGACTTGTACCAGTCGAATTTCTTCCTTTATTATTACATATACTTTCCATATGAGTGCTACAGGCACATTGAATTGGTTTTAAATTTCATTTTATAATTGTACAAACCTTATAATATTCCAATGCATATACTTCTTGTTGCCTTTTAAATATTTTGGGGCAGTTTTTGTTTCAAGTAGATTGGGAAACCAATTACTGCCTAGTTTTATCAGTCCTGCAATTTTGACAGGATGTGCAGTGTTGTCATGGCTACAGGGACTTGAAATTTAAGAGGTCTTTGTAACATTGCATTACTCAAGTTGGAAAATGTTAGTGATCCCAGACAACGTTATGTTGGGTATGCTTGTTCCCGTTCTGATTGTTCGCCTGTTATTAACCACAGACATTTTCAAGAAGAATGTATTATGCCAAGAAATGATTAATTATTTCTGTGGTCTATTATTTCTCCAGTTCTAGGTTTTTATGGCACAGGATTATTTAAGACATTTTCTGTAAACTAGGTGAAGTGATTTCAGTAGGAAATGAATTCCATTGGAACAGGATTCAGATTTCAATATTATAGTACTTCCTCTATATGAGCTGTCATTCAGACGGAAGCATTCTACCATATTTACCCTGCATTAGACCCAGGGGCAACACAGAAAGTTTGATTAAAATTAGGGCGGTAGAAATATTATTACAGGACAACTATGATGCTTTTGTTGGTATTTCTTCTGAAACTGTCAATAGATTGGAGTGGGCTTATTTCCAGACGGGCTTATTGCCAAAGGCATATGGTAGTCATAGTTCCTTGAAAACTTTGAAATATTGGAGTTAGTGATATGAACAAAATGTACATAACTATACGTTGTAAAAATTATCTTGAGAAACTCCATGAAATTGGATGACATGTATTTTTTGTTATATTGTTACAGCTTGCTGATCTGTTCAGATTTTATACTTCAGGAAACTAACATTTTTTCTTATGATGGCCTTTAAATGGTTTGGAGGCACACATAAACAGCAGGTGTATAAGTGTATGTACGTACTAGTTATATAGGCTAATATAATTAGCTCAGGTAGGAAAAACACAAGTTTTCAATTTCATATTTACAGTCCACTGTTGCCATGCCAAGACATTTTAGAGTGTGGAATGATTTTTGTTATGTATTAATATTGTGATGTTTTGATAGCTGACTGTATATGTTCTGCACATATATGCCAAATGTACCGTTCATGGTCAAGGTAGAAAAAAATCTCTTTTGGAGTTGTATTTTTGTGTTTGTACCACCTGGGTCAAATTAACATTGTTTTATTCTGCGGTTTACAGCTCTCAAACTTTTGAGTTGGTTACCTTTACAAATAATTTATTGCTGTTAAGAATTTTTGTTGTTTGTGACTGTAAGATATGATGAATACAATTCTCGGGTATAACTGCTTTACAGTCATACAACTGCTAAACATATAGATAGCAAACACAAGTTTCATCAATCTTTAATCAATCGAAAACATAATAGATGCTGTTTATAATGCAGCTTAAGACATTTCTGCAAACAAATAAGAAAACAATTTCCCAATTGTAAAACGTTAAATGTCATTGCTGAATATGGAAAGTGAAACAAACCAAAAATTGATGATATATTTGTATTAGGTCGCTAAAACGCATTGGCAGATTTCAGAATTTCTGCATATACAGGGTTGATACACTCGCATTTTTTTGGAAGTGTTATGAAATTCAGTACAGGTTGAAATGGAACATATTTTATGATTGGTTCAATGTTTTATGTTTGAAAGGAAATTCTGTTACTGTATTTTTAACATGCAACATTTCCAGTGTCCGGTACAGGCATGTTCATTTATTCTGGAATAATTTAATTTCAGTAAGACCGTTTCAACTGGTTAACATGATGGTGGTTATAAGCCATTGATTTCTTTGTATTATCAAGATTATGGAATTGAATGAAAAAGCAAAATCAGATTTCACAAATGATTTCAATCTTATCCGTGGTATTTAGAACGTAACTCTTAAGATATTGATGTTTGTTAACTGCTTCAGCATTGGAATCAGCTGAGCTGCTTCAGTGTCACGACACATTGATGCTATCATTGACTTACACCAGGGTGTACTATAGATAATATGGAGCAGGTTTATTACAAGTAACCCAGTATTCGGAATGGCGTTCCATTGGAGGGAGAATCGGGTTAAAAATATAAACCTGTCAGAAAAGGAATCATTTTGTCTTCTCTTTTTTTAACAGTAAATATTAGAGATAATATATACGCAATTGAGTGCAGGATGCTCTTCTGGAAAATGATGAAACACTGGGACTCTGAAATAGCATTGGTTTTTTAAGTTTACCAAATAGAAATCTACAGACATATTATTAGATAATTATGGGTATTGATATTTATGTTCTTCAGTATGTTGTAAAGATGTATAATCATTATTTATCTTCAATCTTTTGATACATAGTATCACATTTTAAACACTGGTCTGTACTTGTTAAATATGAAGGAACTATCAATATATGAAACAAAACATTTGCATACAATTGAATACATCCCCGAGACTGAGAAGATTTTCTCAAGGGAAATCCATCTAGATTTGAAGTTTAAACGTACATTTTGTAAATGAACCAGAGGCGACAGAAAGAGATAAGAGAGTAACACAATTATGAGGTTAGCGTGTGTGTCTGTTGTTTTGATAGAAGTGAAAGCCGATGATGATGTAATGTGTATTGTCTATAGCACATTTCATCTATGTAGTATTTGCAAGATGGGAGGGCGCTTGGCAAGAAAAATTTTCGAAAGTTTATGGTTAATAAAAACAGGTGATTCGTGTAATTTCCATGATAAGCTGTTTGACTGAAGTTTGTGTTTGAATGTATAAGAAATTATATAGAAAGAACTCAATTTTTATTGGGAAATTCTATTAATGCTAAATGATTTAATTTGTCTATCTACAATTTTTATGTTAAAGGTGGATTTTTTAACTGATTAGTCCATGTTTTCAGGTGTTTTTTTAATGTTGCCTCTAAGTGAATCATCCATAGAATCTAGTTCTCTAATCATTAGATTTTATCTATATAAAATAGATTGTTTCACAGAAAATGTATTGCCTGCACTATTTTAAATAAGCTAAATATAAAGTTTGACGAGATTGTCACATAAATGAATTAATTGCTGATTGCTCTTGTTTACAATCATTTCTAGTGTTTCACAGGCCTTGAAAAACCTGATTTCTCTCTTCACATAATTCCAAACAATGGTTTTCCCTAAAAGGCCCCAGTTGAGTACAGATGGAAGGAAACTTGCTGGAATTAGATAAATGCTGATACAAATCGTTTGCAAAATAATATTGATCTATTCTCCTGTAACTGACTGATCTGAGTGTACAAGATAATGGATTTGTGGAATTCACTTATTTTGCAGCAAATTTTCAAGGAAAATCAATTTGATCACGAAAACCTGTACAAGAAACAAATATATGTATTTTTCTATGTGCTTACACATTGTGTAGAGAATGCTAAAATTGGTCATTCTCAGTGTTTCCTATTACCCTGAATGAGATTATTACAAAACCTCCCATTTGATGAAATTCAAGACTTGTACTTTTGGTTTTTAAGGGGTTTTTTTATAAGAAAACATTGTATGTGGTAAAATGTAACAATACAAGGGAGAGCACTGAATTCTACAGTTTTATTATTATACTGGACACCACTTATAACAATGACAATATTTAACATTAAACAGAGTTATTCTAATAGTTTTTAGTACCATCTGTACTTGTAGCTAAAATTGCTTTGTATATGTTTATGTTTTGTTCAGGGTGGACTTTTGTAAACAGCTTAAGGACTCATTGTAATGATTCTTATTATACAGGGTCTTTCTCCTGAGTTTCAGGTTGTAAATGTTTGTATTCCACAGAGTAGAACTACACAGGTAGTTGAAATGCGAGTTTTATCTGTAAATATGAATGACTTTATGAATGATGCACTTCATGTTAGTGGTAGAATGATTGCATTCACTTTTCTAGTCAGATTTTATTCTATTTTATTCCTTTTGCAGGTATTCATGACCTTCAGTGTTCAGTTGACAATGGCGGTTGTTCTCACCTTTGTCTCATCTCACCTCATCCTCCATACTATACCTGTGCCTGTCCCACTGGCGTCCAGCTCAAGGAAGACAACAAAACCTGTGCTAATGGTCTGTACACTGTCATTGTGCCAGTTTGGAAAAATGTTTTTAAAGAAAACTTATTTTACGATGACAAATAACGATGTAATACGTAAAAATTTTCTTGTGTTAAATGACGTAAAAATACATTAATCTTTTTAATTTCAATCCTGAATGTTAAGATGTTGATTTTTGTGTATTAGATGAACTTTACTTTGATTTTCTATGCTTGGTGTTAATTTATATGCATTTGGTAAAACATTCAGAACACTGTAGAGTTATGTCCCTTGGCATCACTGTATGAAGTTTCGCTTTTACAGGTGCCCAGCAGGTCATACTACTTGCGAGGCGGACAGACCTCCGCAAGATATCCTTGGATACTCCTGATTATACAGATGTGGTTCTTCCACTTGGAAACATCAGACATGCCATTGCAATTGACTACGATCCGGTAGATGGTCATGTGTACTGGACTGACGATGAAGTCAAGGAAATACAAAGGTCCTCCCTGGATGGAAGTGGTATGTGCTGAAATATTGCCCTTTGTCATGTTTATATCAATAATATTAGACTATGAGTACAATTCAACTGATTTTCTTGTCAATTATAAATGAATAAAAATATGAATTCTTTGCTTAGATTCTGAGAAATTAAAAAAGATGTGAATATATTCACAAATCAGTTTGAAAAGTTGGGAGAAACATAATGATGTACAGACTAATCTGTAACTCATTTCATAATGTTAACTACAAAGTGATTTGAAATCTTTGTAAATGCTTCCAAATAACATCATTGATTGGTACAGACAAAAATGGAGACAAAACTAATCAATATAATGATACCAGATACCAAGTCTGATTTTGAGAGTGCTGACATAATTGATCAACTGTTTCTCCTTTTAGAATAAGTTTATGGGGCAATATGTTGTTAATCTAAACAAAAAACAATAAAACTTGCTTTAAAGTTTTAATGAAGTAGACAATGTTCAAAAGTACTAATGTTTGCCCTTTTTAATGGTTCAAATTCTTAGGGTTTCACGAAAAGGGTGAAGAAATAACACGTAATGTTAGTGGAAATTTTCAAACTGTGTCGTTGTTTTCTTAACAAATTTTGATTTTCAAAATATCTTTCTCGCAGTTTTATGCAGTCCTTGAAATCAGAGGAAAATAGATCCTCTTGAAAATGTTTTTAAAATGTGACTGGAATTAGGACTGGAATTAAAATTTCAATACATATCAAAGATATTAAATTTCTTGCACTTTGCATGATTGAGTAATAATATTGGTGTTCATCGGACCATTACTAGACTTTATATGATTTTGATAAAATCCAAGCTGGATTGTCACAAATAGTGAATTTGATAGAAAACCAGGCTGAAACATCACAGATAGTGAATTTGATAGAAAACCTGACAGAAACATCACAAATAGTGAATTTGATAGAAAACCTGGCTGAAACATCACAGATAGTGAATTTGATAGAAAACCTGGCAGAAACATCACAAATATTGAATTTGATAGAAAACCTGGCTGAAACATCACAGATAGTGAATTTGATAGAAAACCTGGCTGAAATGTCACAAATAAAGAATTTGATCAAAAACCAGGCTGAAATGTCACAAATAGTGAATTTAATGGAAAGCCTGACTGAAATGCCATAGACTGTAAAGAGATTTCTTCATTTATCTATATCTTGTGTTTACAGATCAAGAGACAATTGTCAGTACAGAAGTGAACCATCCGGATGGTGTGGCCATTGATTGGATAGCAAGGAACCTTTACTGGACAGACACTGGTACAGATCGGATAGAAGTGACTCGACTCAACGGCACGTCCCGTCGTGTTCTCATCTCAGAGGACTTGGATGAACCACGAGCAATATGTTTGGATCCAATCACTGGGTAAGATGTTCTTCCCTTTTTTTCTCTCTCTCAAGAATGTTGTTTTGATTAATGGAATAAAGTAACTATCACTAAAGCTTGAAAAGACCTTAAGATCGATAGAAAATAGATATAAGAAATATAGAATAATAGATACTAATGCTTCATCTCCTGTGCATAAAAGTATAACTGCCAAAAAATGCAATGATTATCTTCGAATGAAAACCAATGGGTTAAAGTCTTGATAAAGAAGAAAATAAGTATTCAAATTTTTCCAGTTTGTAGAATGCATTTCTAGGTGTGATTCTTATTGGTGAATTCAATGTGAGCTTTAAAACCAGATTTGACTTATCACTGGTAAAAATTGTCACAAGTGCTGGGCGTATTGGTGAGGAGTTTTTCCTGACTTATTTAAGCAGATGGTTGTTTAATAATTCAAACACTTTTCTTTGCAGACACATGTACTGGACGGACTGGGGAACTGTTCCGAAAATAGAACGTGCAAATTTGGACGGGAGTAGTCGAATTATGTTGATCAACACTTCCCTGGGCTGGCCCAATGGGATATCAATTGACTATGCCGAGCAGAAGATGTATTGGGGGGATGCTAAGGAGGACAAGATTGAACTGGCCAACCTAGATGGCACTGGTCGACGTGTTCTTGTATCAGAACAACTACCTCATATCTTTGGCTTCAGTCTCCTAGGTCAGTCTTTTCTTTGTTTTGAAAAATAAAAGGAGGTGCTACTTCTGTTGATATATGCCTTTCTAGACTTGTGTGTGTGGTTATTTATGTCTAATTTTAATTGAAAACTTACTGATTAAAGTGTATATGATACGTTTTGATTGGATATAACAAATGCTGCTGAATGGTGTTTTCACTTATTGAAATCCCTCATTTTTATGATAGTAGAGAATCGTATCCTTGTGTGAGCTTACCATAATTCAGATGTTTGAAAATATGTTTCAAAGATGAGGGAGAATTAATTAAGTTGAATTGTTTTGCAGGTGATTACATATATTGGACAGACTGGCAGCGTAGATCTATTGAGCGTGTAAACAAGAAAACAGGACGGGAAAGAGAAGTGATAGTGGACCAGCTACCTGATATCATGGGATTAAAGGCCATCAATGTTCAAAAAATAGAAGGTAAACAGTCAGTGTCTTGTCTCCGATATTACTTCCGCTATTAAGAATGTTGTTTATGATTGTCTTATTGTCGCCCTTAACAATACTTTATGTAGTAATTTCTCAGATTTCATCTCACATTTCCTGATTGACTCATCTAGAATTCAAGAAAACTGCTCATTGAAAAAAACAACATTACCACATCATATTGTGATAATTTGTGTACTTTCTTTGACTTTTCAATGGGAGAAATATTTTTGCAAAAGGGGATATATTTTCCCACTTTTAGAACAATGCCGTGGCATTGCCACAGTTAAAAAATGGTGCCAGTGTTTTATAACTTAAAGTTTGGAAAGTGTGTAGATGACAAATAGGTGCTTGCAGATGATTTGTTTCCATAGATGTTGTGTTAATATATGATTTTGAATCATCGATAATATCTCATACCTTATGCAGTGATCAAAATAGAAATAAGATCGAAGTTTATAAATGGAATCCTTTATACAACATGTTTTTTAATGTTGGCAATACTAGATTGAATAGGAAGGCGACTTCGTGAATGAATGCTTAAATCTTGTTAGTGTAGTGTTCTATGTGTGTGTGACTGACTTGGCCATGCTTCAGTGACCACAAGATGGAGGTCAGATGTCGTCTGTTGAGGACAGTGAAGGCAGTGTGTTGTTGTAGGGCCAGGGGGGTCATGCCCCATTGCACATATGATGTATGTAGAGTGGCCAGTCAACCGTGACCCAGACCCCTTAATTATAGAGCCAGTGGGCAACCTAACTTGATTTTTCGACTACACACATTGCTAATGGGAAGGCAGGGCCACAGGACAAACCATAAACATCAGGGTATTTTTTTGGTACAGCCCAAAATTTAACAAAGATACAGCATTCACTGTCCTCGAAGGCAGTTTATGTATGTTGAAGAATGACTCATAACAGAAGTAAAGTTGTCAGATTCTGATCTTAGAGATATCAGTAACTGTAGGGAGCAGACAGCAGTAAAACAAGGGTAGTTTCGTTGAATTGAAATTCACATCAGGACTCTCAGAAGAGTGGTAACAAATTAACTTCAGTTTTACAATTAACTAATAGTAAAAGTTATTTCATCAAATGTCAAGCTTGTGACAGTGGGTAACTATAGGCCCCAGGGTACTTGAATGGTAGATCTGTTTCTGACAACACTTAGCCACAGATTGTATTGTGTATTTGTCAAAGTGAGTATCATCATATTGGAAATACATGGGCCATTTGAACCTCCATTTGACATAAAAATTATAAAAGAAACTACATCTATATATAGTTTGTTTTTCTGCTTATTACGTCTAAGCATTTTATCATTTAAATTTGAAACATTTTATCCATTAAATTCGAAGCATTTTATCATTTAAATTACGGAAGCATTTTATCAATTAAATTCAACGGGTGGTACTCTTAACAAAACTTGCAGTCCTGTGGTGGGTTAAATTTTTGCTGAAATAGCCTATAGTTAGCTTCTATCAGTGATTGAAATGTATTGAAAATTATTTGTAGAATATATCTTAATAGAGAGCTGATTAAGTAACATATAAAGAATATAGAAGGATGGACAAGCAGGTGTTGGGATATGCCTGGTTCATCATTCAGGTTGAAATGATAGGACACATCTGAAAATTTATAAATAAAGTCACTATCTTTTATTTAATGAAAGTAGTTTCATATCTTGAGAACTGGATATCACATTTCTCTATAAGTGACCGACATACAGATATGAGAGTAGGTGTATAGACAGTGAGGTGTATGTAGACTGTACACAGATACAACAGTTCCTGTTACATCAGCTCACTCTAGCAGTCACTTCACATTTGGTAAAACAACTGGGGTGGTAATGTCACCAACTGGCACAATCCAGTCAAATTAATGTCGCCCTCTACAGTCATGTCAGGCACTCTGCACCCGTCTGACTTAGGTTGTTAAGGGTCACATTGGAACCAGAAACCATGGGAAAGGCTTGTTGATATAGCATTACATGTCTAGACCTAAAGGATATATAGGGATGGTAGAATTGTAATTTGTACTCGATATGTGTCGAGGTATATTGGGATTCTGACAGGATTAAAACTTCATTGTGTAACAAATAATAGGTATATTACACCAAACATTAAACTTTCTGAAATAAGCATGCTTACAATTATTTGGCACTGTCTGTTCAAAAAGATGATAGTGTATAACATAAAATATTCATGTGTTGAAGCTTTTGTTGTTTTTGTGGCTACAGATAAACCACTAAAATAAAACAACAACCAATAGGATTTGAAGTAAAAGACTAATAAGTGTAGTTATGTGTTATCCACTGAAGAGTTTCCATTGAAAATCATTGTTTATGTCTGAATCACAAAGAACTCACCAACATTACATGTTACACATATTTAGTGGTATTATACTGTTTTTGATCTGGTTAGACCCCCCCCCACCAGATTCTTAGAACTTAGAATATTTGAATGAATGATAAGATAATGGAAAATTGAGGCGAAAGCCTTAGATATATTTCCAATTTTTTTGGAAAATTGTGTTGAAGATGAAATCATTTCACCCAGATTTATATTTACTAGGTCAAATACAGTATTGGGTTTGAATATGGCCACTTACATCTGTAAAGATTGTTTGTATCTGATTGTTCAAATTTTTACATTTTTGCAATTTTTTTAGTTTAAAGCAAAAATTACATATTTTTTTCATAGCAATCATCAAACAAGCAAAGTTGCTATTTGTTTCATTTTCAAAGTTTTGATTCCTCTCCCCCCAGCTTCCATTTTTAAAATGCTGAATAATATAAGAACCTCCCAGATATTACAATCTTTACAGTTTGAAAGTGCCTGATTTTCTGTTGCTTTATTAACCTTACTGACTAATGAAACTTCACTCAATATAAAAAGTACTCACGCTTACAACTACGGCTCCAATTTTTACTCCATGGCCATTCTATGTTAGCGGACATCAAGTTCATGCTGCTCTTTGAGGTAAAGTCAAATCTGTAAACAGCCTTACACATTTTTGAAGGAATTTTGTCAAGGATTCGAAACAGATGCTTTGTATAAGCAAAATGGTTGCTATTAAAAACTAACAAAAAATATAAAATGCTTATTTCAGGAATGAAAGTTGTATTTACAAAAAATAGTAAATATTGATTTCTGTTATCACATTGTATTCTCCTGTATGTTTTATAAAAAATAAACAGAATTGAAAAAAACAAACAAAAAAACCAAAAAAAGTCAAAATGATTATATGTGTTGGGTACATATCTTTGAATATGAGAATCTGAGATATTAGGTATAAATATGGAAATAAGACATGCCTTTCCTTTGTCTTTGCAGGTACTAATCCTTGTGCTGAAAACAACGGAGGATGCAGTCACCTGTGTCTAATGACTGCCGACCAAGGTCCAGTATGTGCTTGTCCAATGGGACTAGAATTGGTTAGCAATGGTAAGACATGCATTGTACCTGAGGCATTCCTTCTGTTCACGCGCCGGCGCGACATAAAACGGATGTCCCTGGAAACGAGTCACAGGATCATGCCTGTCCCCATCCGTGGTGTCAAGGACGCACTGGCCATTGATTTTGATTTCAATGACAGCAGGATATACTGGACTGATGCAAAACTCAAGGTCAGTCATTGTAGAAATTGTAGGAAATTATTGATTTCTCAAAAATTACATGATATCTTCAGTTTTTTAGACCATAATTAGAAAATGAAGAAACAGAATGTAGTCCAGAAAATTATGACTTTTCCTATTTTAAGTAATTATGAAATGTTGAATAAACATGTGTAAATATGTACATAAGATGTAAAACTGACCAGGATATATTTTTTTCAGACCATAAGTCGAGCCTTCCTTAATGGCAGTGCTCTAGAGACTGTTGTTGAATACGGGCTGATGTATCCTGAAGGAATGTCTGTAGACTGGGTTGCCCATAACATTTATTGGGTGGACTCAGGCACACGCCGGATAGAGGTGGCTCGTACTGATGGGACAGCACGCAGAGTGCTTATTTGGAGGGAGATTCACCAACCACATGCTCTGGCAGTTGATCCTGCCAACGGGTAAGGTTTAATGGTTTTTAAAGACTTTAAATTGGTCTTCCCTTAGGAAGCTATTAAGTATAAATTTGGAATGTGTAAATTTGAACAGGAGTTGTACCTTAATATTTATAAGATTTAGTGCCTTCTTCATTTACAAACCATCAACAGAAAATGTGGCATTGATACCCTGTAGCTTGGACTCTGGCAGCCAATTTACCTGTTATTTACTATGACAGTTGATATGACATAATTACCTGTTGTTGTTTACATTTATTTTATAAGTCAAATGTTTACTTTTACAATTTTTCAACAGTCTGATATACTGGACCGACTGGGTAGAGCCACACCGACTAGAGAGGGCAGCACTAGATGGTTCACAGCGGATGACATTAAACAGTAACTTTGGTAAGGTCAATGGCCTTACCATTGACTACGGAGAAAAGCGACTCTTCTGGGCAGACCTGGATTCTATGTCCATCGAATCAGCAGACATGGACGGTAAGCTTAAAAGCACAATCTTTAGGAAACATTTTTTTTTACTGGTTGTTGATTTTGGTATAAAAGTATAGAAATGTAGTTTGCTATGCTTTCAGTTTTTCAAACCAGACATGTATTGAAATATGAATGTGAACCTTAATACTTTGTCTTTAAACTAACTAATGTTATTTAACTGATGTCAGGTACAAACCAAGTGACGATTGTGAAGGACCATGTCCCTCAGCCTATGGGGCTAACTCTATACCTTGACTTTGTGTTTTGGGCTGACTACCAGGAGAAGACTATCGAGAGGGCCAATAAGTCCTCTGGAACTAATCGTACTACAATACACTACAACATGGAAAATGTTGTTGATCTGCTTGTGTTCCATGCATCTCGACAATCAGGTATTATATCCAAGCCTACATTGCTGGGTACTGACAACATTATGTTTGAAAGGCTGTTCTTAATGCAAACTTTGCTGTGATTTTGAATTTGTTAACTGAAGTCTGATAGTAGTAACCATTTATTCTTGAAAAAGAAAAGAATACATATTTTTGAATGAATTCATGAAAAAAGCAGTGAAAAGAAAAAGATCATTTCCGTTTTGATATATAGTTGTAACAATAACGAATTGATGTTTATTTTGACGTTTAGCTTTCAGCAAGAGTGGTTTTGTGTTCCATTGCTCATAATCATTACCTGATCAACCATCAAATTTTTTGTTAAATATGTTTGAAACTAATTTCCCTAATCCAATTTATCATAAATGTAATGCTTTACATGTCTTGATTTATGAAAACGTTTTTTTCCCCAATATAGGCACCAACAGTTGTAAGAATAATGGAGGATGCTCGCATTTATGTTTGGTAAGGCCTGGAACAGAGGCAGGGGTGATAACTCATCAGTGTGCCTGTCCTACTCACTTTGCTCTCAACACTGACCAAAAGACATGTGTTGGTAAGTACAGATATTAACCCTCTCTGTTTAGAAATACATATGTACTTTTGATATTTTCATTTTAACATTTCCAACTTCATATTAGCTGTGAATATAATTATTTCTTGTAGTGGTATCAATTTTATACAAGCAGTCAGTAGTTCTTGGATATTGAAAGCATCAGAGGCATTTAAATGCTCGTTTATTTTCTTTTCAAACTATATTTGTTTAGGAGCTTTGCTTGTCCAGGATTTCATATGTGATTATCTGTTGAGACAGTATTAAATTACGTGTTGATCACATCTTGTTATCTCTTTTGTGTTTCCACAGCACCCGAATCATTCCTACTGTTTAGCCAAAAGAATGTGATAAGTCGTCTGGTCATTAGTGACAACGATCTTGACCCTGACTCACCTGATGTGGTCCTACCCATCCCTGGTTTGAAAAATGTCCGTGGCCTGGCGTACGACCCTACTGACCGTTACATTTACTGGATTGAGGGTCGACAGTGGTCAATTAAAAAGGCTAAAGACAATGGCACACAGGTAATGACAGACCCACTGGTAAGGTGGTGATTGCATGAACACACAGAGATGAAACTTTACATGGTGCTCATTCAGTTAGGACTTCTTTTTGTATTCAAGCCACTTTCTTGAGGAACATATTGTGTTACTCATTTGTTTCTGCCGTGCATATCTTGAGAACCTCTTAACAAATTTGGTTCATGTTTACTCAAAAGAATCATAAATTGTATTCTTCACCTGAGTAAAGTAATATGGTCACTCATCAAGTTTAAAGAGTCAAAGGTTAAATTTGACAACTTCTGCAGACTAATCAAACTATGATACTTGTATGGATAGGAATGAGGGCATTTATGCCATAAACAAGTCAGTTGTCATAGTTATCAATGTGCTGCATTTAAATTTAGTTGCCATTGAGTTTTATGTCTGTTTCCATAGCTGCATTGGCTGGAAAATGTAATTGGTGATGCAAAAGTCTTGTTCTTGCTGACATGCCATGGCTATTTAAATTACATGTTAACATTGGAAGAAGGTCATTTATCTAAATACCTTACTGTTCAGAATATGTTGTTTAATTAAAAGATTGAAAAGAAATTGATATGTGTATTTACATTAAGTGAGAGGGATATTTGAAAAAAATTAAAAGAAAAAAAAATTGAATGTAAGACAATTACTTGAGTATCAGAACTACATTATCTAACCTGACACATGACAAAATAAACTTTCCTTTTCAGGCTATTGTAGTTGTATCCAATCAGCAGGGCATCTATCGTCCGTTTGACATTGCTATAGACCCTTACTCACAGACCATATTTTGGACGTGTTCCACAACGAACAACATCAATGTCACTCGCTTCGATGGTTCTTCAATAGGGGTGGTCATTGCCAGTGATGAAAAACATACCATCAAGCCACGCTTTATTGTCCTCAATCCACAAAAAGGGTTTGTATGGCTTAAATATAGTAATTTTATTCTTCATTAAGGTTTTTGAATTCCAAATATATTAATATTTAAAACTGTTGAATATCTATGCTTGATAGGGTAACATTTCTGATTGCTGAAATTTGGCCATTCCATGAGGGCACAATAGAATAAACGTAGAACTGTAGAAGTAAATTGCTGGACTGGTGACTCCAGGGAAAGATGATTGTATTTGATTGTGGTAAATATGTTGGAAATCTGGATGCTAAACTCAGAATTATGACTTTAAACCTCCCCACCCTGACCCTTACACCCAACTCCCAAAAAAATCAGAAAATTTAAATTTCATTGGCATTTCTATACAGGTACATGTACTGGACAAATCTGGTTGGACAGCCTTCAATAGAGAGATCAGCTTTAGATGGCACTGAACGTGTATCATTGTTTCAAACCAGCCTTGGAAAGCCAGGCCCACTTGCCATCGATGTTGAAGGAGGACGCCTGTACTGGGCTGACTCAAGTCTAAACAGGATTGAAAGCTCAGACTTGGATGGAGGTGACAGAAATGTGTTAGTTGATGAAAAGATTCAAAATCTGAAAGGCATGGCTGTTTTTGGAAATTTCTTGTATTGGATTGATAAAGAGCAACGTGCCATCATCCGGGCAAATAAATTAGATGGGAAAAATCGCACTTATATCCAAGGTCGTTTGGAAAGTCTCAGTGACCTTGCAGTGGCCCAGTACCTCCAACTTGTGGACATCGATCAGCATCCTTGTGCCGTAAGCAACCACAAGTGTTCACACATCTGTGTTGCCCAAGGAGATAACACAGCACGATGTTCATGTCCCATCGACTTAGTACTGAAGGCAGATGGGCATACGTGTGCTGATCCTCCAACATGTTCGCCCGAGCAGTTCACTTGTAAAAGTGGAGACATCAATTGTATACCTCGTGTGTGGCGTTGTGATGGTCAGGGCGAATGCGGAGACGACTCGGACGAGGAGGATTGTCCTGTTTGTGACCCGTCGCAGATCAAATGTGGTGATGGAAAGTGTATTGACAGCAACATGGTGTGCGATGGTGTGGATCAGTGTGAGGATGGCTCGGATGAGGAAAACTGTTGTGATCCGGAAGATCCCCATTGTGAGGATATGGAAATGGAGGATGATCCGGAATGTCTGCACAACTCCCAAATGGAGCCGTGTGAACGTACGGCCACTAACAAACCAGCTACTCCACCTGATGCTCACATTACAGTGATCATCATTGTGGGGATTTTCTCTCTTGTGCTTATTGTTGGAGTTGTGTTCGCATGCCGAAGAAAATCACAAGGAATGAATAATTATTATGATAGAGACATGATCATGCTCACCAAACCTCTTAATGCACAAATAGACCAGACTCCCCCCAATACACTGCCTAAGAGGAGTAACAAGAATGGTGCTTTGCCGTCGTCTGTGTCTGGGAGTACAGCACAGTACGACAGAAATCATGTGACTGGAGCTTCCTCCAGTAGTTCTACTGTGACTCACTATCCTAAAGAGACACTGAATCCCCCACCTAGTCCAGTGACGGACCGCTCCGTGTGTTTCGGGGAGTTTAATGGTTACTCCTCTAATAGTCCGTCAACAGTGCGGTCTTATAAACCTTATAAACTACCGCGGCACATTCCCCCGCCGCCCACAACCCCTTGTAGTACTGACGTTTGTGAGGAAAGTGAACCTTACCCCCCTAAAAGATACTACAAGTTTAGTCGGTCAAGAGAACTTTACAACGACTATGACCCCTATCCCCCACCTCCCACACCTCGTAGCCATTATTTCTCGGACGATATGATGAGTTGTCCCCCCTCACCCTCGACAGAGAGAAGTTATTTCAATCCGTATCCCCCACCACCCTCACCGGTGGGGAACTCGGACTGCTAGCCAAATGAGTGAGAGTGGGATTAGTGTAAATGCATGAACAAATGAGAGAAAAAAATGACAAGTGTGGAAGACTCACAAGTGCTAATATTTATGTATGTGTGAATTTAAGGATGAACAAATGTGCTGATTTCTTTTTCAAATTTATATATATATAATATATATATATAAATATATGTATATGAGATAAAAAAATTGTACTTTGCAATATATGGTATCGCAGCATTAATCAACAGTATGGGTTATGTGAATGAATGGACAGTATTGTCAAACAGTCAGTCACAGTTATTGCCTCACATCTTCTTTTACCTACTGTGGTTGTTGAATCGTACTATAAATGGCAGAACCCTTTGTTTATTTGTTTCTTTGTGTGTAATCATGTGAGCTGTTTCTCCCTTCAAACCTCATCTACAATCATTGTAAAGGCTAAATCTGTGACTGATCGTTTGTACAATGTTAAATTGACAAATTTGATGTTGAATCTGCCATCATTTGTAAATCTCTAAAATTGTTATTTCTCACTTTATATGTCGTCATCCAAATTTACACCTTCACATCAGGGAAAAGGGTATCATGATTTATCAGTAACAGGAGACAGTCAAGTCATTCTGATGGTACGTTGAACATCAAAATTGTACGAGAGTGTGAAAGTATCCAATTTTTTATTGGATAATCATTGTATTGGTTGCTAGGTAGTGAAGCGTCCCTGCGGTCACCGGACAAGTGCTCAATAGGACTTTTTATAGAATGTATAAACTGGCTGGGACTGCTTTTCTGCTTACCACCATTTTGTTTGTTTTTGCAAATTTTCTTTTCATATAGCATTATGCCAAAGTGATTTTTTTTTAAACATTGAATTTTGTGTTCATTTGAATGACTTATGTATTGAGAATTATTATCTAGGTTTGTAACAAACTTGTCGTTCATAACTTGTGCTATTTCCACTCAAAGTTCCAGGTCGACAAGTCACGGTCAGCATTGTTTGAAATGTGTATTTGGAATGTATACATCTGTATCACACCGTTCTTTTGTACAACATGGTAGTGATTTATTGTTTGTGTTAAACCTGGGACAGCAATGACAGAGAAAAAAAAGGGGAAAAAATAGAGAAAAGGGACAGAAGTGTTCCAAATCACCATTTACATGTATAAGTCTTCAGTGAAATTTCTTGGAATTGTCATATGCGAGTTCAATAAAAGATGCATTTTTTAATGGATGTACAGTAGATGCAACTATTTTTCGAACTGTTTAATCCCAAGTGATTCAGATGTTGCAATTTCCAACTTATACAATGAACCTTCTCATTGTCTAGTAGGTAGCGGAGAAAGTCGAAACAACAGCTAATGAAACACATTTCTTTAATACATAACTGGCAAAATGTCTCTCTTCGTAACGGTGGGTTGTTATTACTTTGATATATTTAACTGATATATTCAAATTAAGAGAAAATGAGAATTCTGATGGAAATAGCCCAAGCTAGGCGGATGAGTTTTAATTAGTTATTTTTGAGTGACCTTGCTACACAAGGTTGTGTTCAGAATGCTTGCTATGTCAGACTTCTACCTCTGTTTAATAGTGTTAGGCATTATATATATACAGAAAGCAAGCAGCTTTTGAACATGACTTTTAATGGTGAATAATTATATACTTAATGGCATTTGGTGTACCCTTCCATCCCCTCAAACCATATTAGACTGATCCAAGAAATTTTCATTTTGTGTCAATTTTTTTTCCACAGAAAAAATAAGGTTTAAACTATTCCATGTAGCTGGTTAAACTGAAGATATGATTAATACATAATCAAGTTAAATATTTAGTGTAATTAGTCTTCCATGTCAAACTGCACATTTTGTATAAATTGGAAATTGAGCAGAAAGTGAAAGTGTGAACTACCAGTTTTTCTGCGTCTCCATTGTTCCAGGATTTAAAGTAAGTAAATTCATGTGATCTATTGCCAAAGATATGTATAATATGAACTTCTACAAAGTTTCTAGTGTTGTGACTATAATACCAAAACTAATTTACCAGTTATATAATTGAATGGTGATTTATTGTATAAATACACTAGTGCTGTGATTAAATGATAGTAGGAACAAGTGCTACTACTAGTTCACTAAACTTAAATATACATGTATTATACACGGGACCTGGTGTTCAGATAAAAATATTACAAAGTAGTAAGTATAGTTGTAAATTTTGATAACTGTCAGATTGCTTTGAAATCATTTGTTTTTATTATTATTTGAACAATTCCATTCCAAATTGGATTAAGTTCTTTTAAACATTTTAATACTACTGTTCTTGTCCAGGACAAATTGTCTTATGAATTGCTAAGGTTGTAGAAGTTGTCGAAATTTTGGAAATTCTTTAATTCTTCACATTTGAATGAATATGGAAACACTTTCATGAATGGATTTCATATTTGTAGTTTTACTTAAATTCATTGAAAGACAAGCTTATTTGATATTATACTTTAATGGTTGTCTTTATATGTACATGTATCTAAAAGAAAGTTGTGTTTTTTCCCATACTTTCAGAATTCATCTGAAAGTGTAAAATCTTCATCATCTGTTATTATTTACCTGAAAGTCTTTCTTACTTGTTCTTTATTATTCAGATGTCATATTTGGATCAGCCTAATATAGTTTGAGGAGGTAAAAAGCTGTAGAAATAAGAAGGGTCACTATTGTTTTAAAAGTATGAAATCCTAATGCGAATGTTGTGTATGGTCACCAGATGAGAGTAGACCTCACCTGTTCATGACTCGTTAAAGGTGTATGTACAGTGGCCAGGTAGAATCTGTGTATTTTTTCGTAATCCTGTAGAGATATGAGTTGTCGTATATATATATATTTATGTTAATGTACAGAAAATGATTTTTGTAGTAACCACGGAGATAGAATGTGGGTGATAATGTTGTCAGTAGGTTCAAGAAATATTTTTCATGAATATTCAGCATTAGAGATTCTCTTGGACAGGACATTTTCCTTGTATCCATCAAACAAACAAAAAATGTATCTTTTAACTTGAGTTTTTACAGGAAGTATAAAGACAGAGATTTCCACAATAATTTTCACATTATTTTTTTATTACTTTTTACAAATTGACAAAAAAATTGTTTTGAATATTTCTTGTTAAAGCTGATATTCCTTTTAATAGTTCCTTGGCCTACAAGCAAAAAATATGTTTGTACGTAGATATGAGAGTACCTGTGTATATATTGTACGTCCTACATACTTACAGTGTATGTAGAAATAAAACTACTTTAGCTGCTGCTGAAATGTGTAAATATATGTACATTATCTACAGCATCGGTTAGGTCACACACAAAAGACGGGGGTATATTTCACTATGTCCTCGGGCATGCTACACTGCCCTGTGCTGCTACTGCTTTTTACGATTAGGACAATTGGTGGATTTCTGTTGCGTGTGGGTTTTTTTTTAAACCCTCATCCCTCTTTGTTTTATTTAACCTGTAAGTAGCTGCCAGACAGAAATACACGTAATAGGTGCTGTTTTTGTTATAGATTCAGGTCTAGTATGATCTGTTCCCACTATGTCAGCAAAACAAATTCTTTAAACCCTCATTTTTGTGATGTTGTGTTTCCTACTTTATACTTGTCCCTTACTGAAACAATTGAAGATCAAACAAACATGACAAATTTGTGATATAAATTGTGAATGTAAACAATATTCATGTCCAAAATCCATTGGTTGTTTGTGATATATGTGGTAAGCATATATTTTTCACCATGATCAAATTTCAGCACAATATCAAACATATTGATAATTTACACACCAGCAGCATATATAATACAAAACAAACTACACCAAAACTGTAATTAGCATGACAGTTATGCACAACACTTCAACAAACGTATTCTGCTGAAATTGGTATCTTGATAGTTTATTGGCAGAATTGAACAAAACAGTGCTTAAGTGTACCAGTACACCAGGATACACCTATGTTGATTGGAATTTCTTGTTTAAGAGAAACATCTCATCTTTGATGCTATCTCTGTGTATCTTTACTGAGGAGAAAATTCAAGATTATTATTTCATGGCAGTTGCTCATGATGTGATTTTTTCATTTGTTTTACAACGAGAAGTATAATATTTTGTCTTTATACACATTTTATTTTCTACAGAAGTTTTAGAAACTTCTTTTATTAAAAAAAAAAGCAGTGCTCTTTTTAGACGTAGTTGTTTTTAGAGTTCAATCTTTCATGCATGGAAAAGATTTTAATTCATCAGAGAAAATCTAACTTGTTAAGATTTAATTATTTTAGTTTATTGCATGCTAATTTTTAAACAGATGATTTGAAAAGATGGGTGTGTATGATATACAACACCATATTGTGATAATAAAAACAAGTGCTGGTTTTTTTTAGTTCTTGTTTATAGTTTTAAGTTGAATTATGACAGAATTGACTTAGATAAATATCTTTTTAATTGGAATTCATATTGCTGAATGTACTATGTACATGGATTTTTGAGAGAGAGAAAAACCCACTATTTTTTAATAGAATTTTGTCTGAAATCCCAAAATCTTGCAGAAGTTCACCTACAAGTCCATGTGACCAATATTTCAAGGCATGAAATATCAATATTTCAGCAAAAACATGTTCTGCATAAAGGTTTTTTGAAGTAAAAATTAAAGTGTTTTTAACATTGTTTGGGTTAATAGCATTTAAGTGAGACCTTAACACAGTGTCATTCCAAAGTCTTCATCTCTGTGCTTGTTCTGCTCTTTAATTCATGTAAGTAGCATGACTGTTCACTTGTAGCCTGCATCTGTTGCCAAGGTGGCAACACTGCTATGGGGCGCGGCCAAAAACAGTGCTAAATTTAACGGGTATATCAATGTAAATATAATTTTCTGTTGAAATCATTCATTTGTTGGTTTGCTCACCAGGAAAACAGACAGGTTGCTTATAACATATTTATACCTATATATTTATTCAGTATATTTCATTTTAATGTGATTTATGTGGTATTTTGAATAAGAAATTCCATTATAGAATGAGTGTTTCTATGAATGTACCGTTTTGTAGAAATAATCAATACATGGATCACATCGAAATGGAAAGGCAGACTTTCATATAAAAAGGATATCGGCCTTTATTGTCACAATATCACAAATAAATTATTCAGTTATTGTTTTTGTGTACTATGTACATATCAAAAGATCAAAAATCAAAAGAAGTTTTTTTTTATTTGCAACTTTGTTCATGTTTCTATGGTGATTACCCTCAATACAAGGCCAGTACAGATACATGTATCATGTAGCCCCTCCCTGCTGTTGTATTAGTTCACTTCACTCCTTCCAATAAGTGGAGGTTGTGTTTGTTTTCCTCACTCCCTCCAGTAAGTGCAGGATGTGTTAGTTCGCCTCCCTCCCTCCAGTAAGAGACTTTGTAGCTATTGGTAGCATGCAATGCTTATTTTTCTGTGCCTTATTTGTGCTATATAAACCCCTTCATTGTCCAATATGAAAGTACAGGTATTCTTACGGCTATTATAGGATAAGAGCCATTATGTATAATGATAAATTGAAATAATAAAATAAAAAATACTAAAATAATTCTCATTTGTTGTTCTCATTCTTATGTGTAATGAAACTGGAAAAAATAGATTTGATTTTGATCTTCAAAAGGGTGTGATGCATACAAAGTGTATGATATCAGTTTTCAATAGATTCTGGTGTATACAGAGTGTATGATATCAGTTTTCAATAGATTCTGGTGCATACAAAGTGTATGATGTCAGCAGTTTTCAACAGATTCTGGTGCTTACAAAGTGTATGATGTCAGCAGTTTTCAATAGATTCTGGTGCATACAAAGTGTATGATGTCAGCAGTTTTCAATAGATTCTGGTACATACAAAGTGTATGATATGAACAGTTTTCAATAGATTCTGGTGCATACAAAGTGTATGATATCAGTTTTCAATAGATTCTGGTGCACACAAAGTGTATGACAGCGTTTTCAAGAAGTTCTGGTACATACAATGTGTATGATATGAACAGGTTACCTGCAAAAATGTATCCCCACGAAAGCGAGGAAAATGTAGTTTTTTCAAAAATGGATGTCAGAATCCTGACTAATACAGGTGTATGAACTGAACCAATAATTAAACTTGTCCGTGGTAGACACCCGTCTGTATATGACATTGCAGTAGAAACTGCCTTTTGTGGAGAAAACAAGTATGAAACACACAGGACGTGATAGTAAATGCCTCAGCACACATCGGACACATGGATATCCATGGAGGGATTTTAATATCAAATTAATGGAACATTCAGAAATACAGATAAAGCTGATGTTTCTTTCGTTTTGTGTAAATTTTCTGAACACCAGGGTTTGTTCCAGATTTAATTTTACACTGACCAAAATGAAATGGTAATTACATTATAGTGAACATGTTTTGGCATGTGGATCACACTAGTAATAAAGGTTTACTTTCATTGTATCCTGGTACATGAATATATTTCTAAATCTAGAGCTGTCTATGTCATTTGATGTGCCTTGATGCAATTAATCTATGACCAAGTCGTAATTGTATAATTTCTGGCATGGTGTTTTAACCATTCAGATCTACTAGAGTTACTCCCCTTTGTTACCCTTATGGTAAAACAATATGTCCAACAGCAGACACCTATTAAATTGTTGTTATAATCAAGTGATATCTAAATATGACTAGATTTACCTTGTATTAAGTCTAAGTAGACGTTTACAATATCACTGATTAGCTCCATCTCATTCCATCAATTATCCATTTAAATGATATACTCTTGATTGGAGTTGACTTGATAAAATACTAGCTTATTCTTAATGATTTTTCAATGGAGATTATCTGTTCAGCTTATTTTGCAGAGCATCAGGCCTTTATCCTGGACTTCTAGGTTCAATACCAGACAGAGACAATAAAAAAGATATAACCACTGTTTTAATGGTGCCCATGAAATACCTTGCACTACTCGCACAAGGTTCTCTTTATCCCTGGAAACTCTTGGTCACTTATTGTCCCCGAAATTGATACCACTGTATATTGTTTCCATTAAATCAATCGTGAACTTGTCTACTGGTAAGGATAATTTTCATTATCAATTTAGTTAAGGAATAGACTGGTTAGGTCCAAGATTAAAATCTCAGCAAAAGTATATCAAACATGAAAGTCAAGCTTAATGTAATTCTAGCGGGTTTCATTGTCCTGCCAACAGCCAGGATCATTATGCTGCTGAAACTCCTGGTAGTTGCTGGTTATTGCCTCAGTGTTCAACAGACTGAAGTTCTATGACATGATATGTTAACATTATGAAATTAAGTGATTGTTTGATATTAATTTGTTATAGGATCATCTTCATTGATGTGTAAACGTTTACCCACGTCATTCAGTGGCAATAGTATGTGAGCATACAAGGTTTTGTATAAATTGCTTCTGATCACAAAATACCAAATAATTTAGCACTTTGGATTTTCCTCAGTCGCCTCTTAGATTTAAAGTTCAGGCCCTTATCATCACTGATGAGTCAAAGAAGGATGAAACAGTTGTATGATGCAGTTTAATTGTTTGGCTCAACTGTTTCTTATCTAAATTTGAATTAAAAGGTATTATTCACTTGTGTCTTTTGTACAATCTTTAAAAGGCTAGATACCCCAGAATTATAGCTAGTAACATGAAATACACCTGCATATCTACATGTATACAAAGTGCAAAGTTACTTTATAAACCTTGATCTTAGGACAGCAATCCACTGTGTATCGCTAATAAAACTGAATCATATTAGCAATGAAAGTTTGATCAAATTACCAGTTGATAATTTTCATTAATTTTCAAATTATCTAATGAGTTCATAAAAACTACATATTTTGAAGTGCATTGTTATGAAAGGCACATTTTTTCTCCGTGAATTAAAATCAGTAAAATGTATCGCACTTTCTATAGGAATTATCATCACCTTCAGCTTTTAAAAAAAGTTTATTTCTAAAGATATTTGATATGAAATGTACAAAGAATTTGAACTTCTTTAGTTGTCATCTTCTGTTTCTCTCTTTCTGATACTTCTCAAACTTTTGCTTTTTTTAGATTTGAAAGTCACATTAGGTTTAATAACCAACGACTCTTCTGAATCTTCATCATCTTCATTGAACTGATCACAATTCTTCTTGTCAAATTTGCTTTTTGTTGAATCAGAGTCCTGTTTATCACCTCCCTTTTTGTTTGGTCTTTTGAAAATAATAGCACCCTGTGAACATGCTCCTCCCTCAACGTCAGCCTTAACTTCCTCCTCCTTCCCCTCGGCAGCCTCCCTCAACTTTCTCCTCTCCTCGAGGAAAGCAAAGGCTGCCTTCGTATTGGAAGCTTGGCTCATATCCTCATTTGAGACATCTTCCAAGGTGTATTTTTTCCATTTGCTGGGATTCAGTTTAAAGTCTGGGATTTTCTTTTGTTGTCGGCTTGGAAATCTTTGAGGTGGAAGTTTAAAATCTGAATCCTTTTTCATTGATTTATAATCAGATTGAGGGTTGTCTCCCTTCTTCTGCCATGGAGGAATATACAGTTCAGATGATGGCCTTTTGAGCCCTCTTTTTATATCATTATGTGATTGATCTTGTTTACCAGATGAATGTTGAGGCGGGTTTGGTTTCTTAAATTTGCGATATAATGTCTCTGTGTCCTCTATGGTCGGATCAGCTTTAAACAGTAGTTGATTTCCTTCCTCATCGACAGACTGGTCGTGAGCAACATGTTTATCCTCTAAGGACTGAAGACAACTGAACACGTCCTTACATCTATCAGAAAAACTGTCGTTACCAGAGGCGATGGTGAAGTCTGAACTACCGGGCGGACTCCCCTTATCTTGCATGTTTTTTTGTGATCTGAAATAAAGCATAAGTCATATCAATGACTTCACTATGTAATCATCATCAGTTGATATAAAAGCAAATTAAATATACCACATTATGTGTAGACCTGTTTTTTTTTTTAATTTGTTAAAATTCTTTTAAGTGAATTCTTGCTCTCCTTTGCTATTGAAATAGAAACTTATTGCAGCGGTTTTATACAATCCTCTGGGTGCACATGATGCTAACAGAATGAAGCAAAGGGCAGCAATCTGGGCCAATCATGTAAAGACATGGCGTATGCTGTTTTCAATAGAACCTGTAAAGGTACATGTATCTAATTTTATAAATGGGAGAAATGCTATTTTAAAAATCTTGATTGTAAATGTGGGAAAATATTGAAGGATCTTCGCTGACAATAACAGATGGATATTGGGCGAGTTGAATCAAGTGTCACAGTGTAATCTACTTCAGAATATATATATATATATATATATATGTATAATCAAATACCTCAAATGGGAATTAATTACCTATACAAGTTTGATTAAAAACAAGTAGTTCTGACATGTATTTAAGTATCTCGACCGCTGTACAAGTAAAACCCCACAGTTGGCCATGGACTAGACCTAGATGGATTTTTTTCTCATTACCTGTAAGAACTCTACTAACATACTTCTAGTTATCTAGTTAAACCTCGTTCACTACTTGTACACAAGGGGGTAAATGTAGTCTATATTCAACTGTACTGTCTCTGATGTAAGTGATCAATGTCTGAGTGTTGCTTAAAAAATAATGACTTAATGTACATGATCTCCCACTGATTGAAACAGAAAGGTGGATTCAAATTTCACAACGTCAACGGCCGCGATGTGTTTTTCCTCATCTACGTGGAACTCCTGAGTTTTATCCTTGGTTGAGGCTTGTATACTATAACAATGTTAGAGGTTCAAAATGGCGAGTAACTGGTTACCCAATGCTATTAAAGACATTCACTTTCCAAACATCCGTCAAAACTGGTAACGCAGTTTCTGTCACAGTACATGGACACAATACCGCAAATTCATTCTGAGCTGAATATTTAAAATATACCCCAAAAGACCCATCGCAAGTGTTGAGACTTTTTTGTGGTTTCACCCTTTTTAAGACTGAATATCCTAAAGCAATATAACTTACATCTCTCAGCCTCGTCCGTTCGCCAACCTCACCAAGCAACTGATGGCCCAAGTCATTCAGAGTTATTTCCCTTCCACCGCAAAAAGCTAATGCAAAAAATTGCATACTGTATACATGTATACAGCGTGATTTCACCTGACACACTGCATACCTCCTTGATAAGGTCACCTGCTATACCTCCATACAGAGGTCATCTGCTATTGCATATCTCCATTCAGAGGTCACCTGGCATAATGCATACTTCCTTAGAGATGAAGCAGACGCCTCTCTCAAAACCTGGTCATAAGGTACTTTTCAGGAGTCTGTACAATCGTTCTTTTGTTCATATTTTCCGCTTGTTTAAACGAATTTGAGGTTTGGTTATGGTTATGTTGACATGTTGGCATTTTCTTTAAAGTTGCCATACAGAGGTCACCAGTCATACTGTACAACACAATATAGAGGTCACCTGTCATTCTGTACACCTCAGTAAAGAGGTCACCTGTCATACTGTACACCTCAATATAGAGGTCACCTGTCATACTGTACACCTCAGTATAGAGGTCACCAGTCATACTGTACACCACAATATAGAGGTCACCTGTCATACTGTACATCTCAGTATAGAGGTCACCTGTCATATTGTGCACCTCAGTATAGAGGTCACCTGTCATAAATATTACTATATACCTCCATATCTATATCACCTGTCATACTGTACACCACAATATAGAGGTCACCTGTCATACTGTACATCTCAGTATAGAGGTCACCTGTCATACTGTACACCTCAGTATAGAGGTCACCTGTCATACTGTACACCTCAGTATAGAGGTCACCTGTAATACTGTACACCACAATATAGAGATCACATGTCATACTGTACACCTCGATATAGAGTTCACCTGTCATACTGTGCACCTCAGTATAGAGGTCACCTGTCATAAATATTACTATATACCTCCATATCTATATCACCTGCCATACTGTACACCTCAGTATAGAGGTCACCTGTCATACTGTACACCACAATATAGAGATCACATGTCATACTGTACACCTCGATATAGAGTTCACCTGTCATACTGTACACCTCAGTATAGAGGTCATCTGTCATACTGTACATCTCAGTATAGAGGTCACCTGTCCTACTGTATATTTCAGTATAGAGGTCCCCTGTCATACTGTTCACCTCAATATAGAGGTCACCTGTCACACTGTTCACCTCAATATAGAGGTCACCTGTCACACTGTACACCACAATACAGAGGTCACCTGTCACACTGTACACCTCAGTATAGAGGTCACCTGTCATACTGTACATCTCAGTATAGAGGTCACCTGTCATACTGTATATTTCAGTATAGAGGTCCCCTGTCATACTGTTCACCTCAATATAGAGGTCACCTGTCACACTGTTCACCTCAATATAGAGGTCACCTGTCACACTGTACACCACAATACAGAGGTCACCTGTCACACTGTACACCTCAGTATAGAGGTCACCTGTCATGATGTACACCTCATTATAGAGTTCACCATGTCATACTGTACACCTCAGTATAGAGGTCACCTGTCACACTGTACACCACAATACAGGTCACCTGTCACACTGTACACCTCAGTATAGAGGTCATCTGTCACACTGTACACCACAATACAGAGGTCACCTGTCACACTGTACACCTCAGTATAGAGGTCACCTGTCATAATTATTACTACATACCTCCATATCTAGATCACCTGTCATACTGTACACCTCAATATAGAGGTCACCTGTCATACTGTTCACCTCAGTATAGAGGTCACCTGTCATACTGTACACCACAATATAGAGATCACTTGTTATACTGTACACCTCAGTATAGAGGTCACCTGTCATACTGTACATTTCAATATAGAGGTCACCTGTCACACTGTACACCACAATATAGAGGTCACCTGTCACACTGTACACCACAATACAGAGGTCACCTGTCACACTGTACACCTCAGTATAGAGGTCACCTGTCATAATTATTACTACATACCTCCATATCTAGATCACCTGTCATACTGTACACCTCAATATAGAGGTCACCTGTCATACTGTTCACCTCAGTATAGAGGTCACCTGTCATACTGTACACCACAATATAGAGATCACTTGTTATACTGTACACCTCAGTATAGAGGTCACCTGTCATACTGTACATTTCAGTATAGAGGTCCCCTGTCACACTGTTCACCTCAATATAGAGGTCACCTGTCACACTGTACACCACAATACAGAGGTCACCTGTCACACTGTACACCTCAGTATAAGGTCACCTGTCATGCTGCACACCTCAGTATAGAGGTCACCTGTCATACTGTACACCTCAGTATAGAGTCACCTGTCATACTGTACTCCGCAATATAGAGGTTACCCGTCATACTTTACACCACAATATAGAGGTCACCTGTCATACTGTACACCTCAATATAGAGGTCACCTGTCATAATTATTACTATATACCTCCATATCAAGATCACCTGTCATACTGTACACCACAATACAGAGGTCACTTGTCATACTGTATACCTCAATATAGAGGTCACATGTTATACTATACACCTCTGTATAGAGGTCACCGGTCATACTGAACATCTCAGTATAGAGGTCACCTGTCATAACTATTAATATGTTCTTTGATACAGAGGTCAGCTATAATAACTAATGACTCCATACTTAGGTGGTCATCCTGCATACGTCCATTATGACATCACCAGCCACACTAACACAAAACAATAATTTAATCAGCTACACTCTATAATTATTGTGCCAGGTAACATAATGTGCTTGTATAAAGTAGGTTACTCTTTTAAGACTTTCTTTTTACTGAATAAATAAAAACAACAATAGCAAGATTATTTTCATCAACAAGAGAATTTAATTCTTGCTCTGATTTGACAATGTCAACTTGAGTCTTCCCTGGTACAATGTCCAGATTTCAACATTTTGACAGATAACTCCGGCAAGACACCAATGTATGTAACATAATGAAGTTGATAGTGGGAAATATTGACCCATCACACAATAGTTTTTTACAAGGCAACTCAATGACAACTGATATCAACATAAAAAACACATACATACAACTGAAATGTTAATCTTATACACATGTAGTTGTGGTCCAGTTTTGTAGGCAACTGTTGATATAAATACACGATGAAATGTTTGCTTATTTCAGTAACTACAAATATCACAAAAATATGCACTGATACTTGCAAGCAGTTTTGTATTTTGCAAGCAGACAAATTTTCCTGCAAAAAAACATATATTGCACACATTTCCTCGTAAGATACAAATCCAAGTTAAAGGACAAAAAATACTGTTCAAACTTTCAAAAGAATTTCAGAATGTTCAGTAAACACTAAGCCTTTCTTTTGAAAGTTGTCCTTACCATTCAACATAAATGATAATTATTAAGTGTAAATATGTGTAACACATAAACAACAGTTCAAGTTCTAAAAAAAGATCATATCAAATTAATAACTTGATAATGAACTTGACACAGAAGAAAAGAATGAACTTGATGCAAAAGAAGAAAATGGAATATTTTGTACCCCTGATCAATAGGTCATTCTATAACTTTTATACTGTACAGCTACTAACGTTCAAGAAACCATTTAATCTAAGAATGTTTATACAAACTAATTTCTTGAGAGCTGGGAAAAAGGAAATTCTGGAATTGAAATTGAGTAATCAAATTCTGGAACCAAATACAGTAGCAGAAAACTGTCTGATTTGGTGAAAAGATTAATTTCAATAACTACAAACATTAGTAGCCAATACAGAATATATTGCAAACAAAACATATTTGTCATGCAGGGCTTAAACAATTGAATTTATTAATCAATACAGTAGGTCTTTATGATATGCCCTACTGTAAAAAAATAAAATCATGAAAATAGAACTCAATAAGTTACATGCTGAAATCGAACATGACCCATATACAAATACATCTGAATTCTTATCAGCTTTAAGTTTGTTTTCCTACCCCATATGTAATCTATGTACAATGTATGTGAGTTATTGTTGAATTATAGAATGCAATATTGTTTAAACTAGAATTTTTGTAGTTTACCTTTTTAGAAAATCTTTCCATGAAATTCTCCAAAGAAGAACAAACACATGTTGATAGTGTATTGATAAATAATTACCAGCACCTTTCTTTTATTCTAACATTATCTCCTTATAGAAAAGTTCTGAGAGATTTTTTAAAACAGGGACATGTACAGCTATAAACAGTAAGAACCATCAGAAAATGCTTATCATCTTAGCCTGTGTGTAAAGATATCTTCACAAGGAGACAGCAAAATTGATAAGTGAAAGATCATATTGGGAGGTTGACTGAAAGTAATATCAAATACTTCAATCAAATATATGTATAATCACATCAATTATTTGTTGTAAGTTTTTTCTTTAGCGCTTCAAAACTAACGTCTATGACATCAGACTTTTTGAAACTGAATCAAGACACTAATATCACTCCTTTCATTTGTTTCCATTCATAATTGACTCTAGCATGAAAAACAGAAATGCCCTTGTATACTGGGACCTGCCAAACTGAAAATCTAAATATTCTGACACCCCCAGTAAATCAAACACATAAATATCCTGACAAATTTTCTTATTCAACGAGTGTATAGTCTAACTTTGTAAAATCAATCAGATTGCTATGATTCTGATGAAGAATTCTATATCCAGGCACACATGAGGTGTGCATATCAATATCATGTCTTAATCTGATTAAAGTTTCTTGTCCAAAGGCATCAAATTTAACAGTTTTTACAAAACCTGTATTTGATTCGAGTACTAACGTGTCCTCCTACTAGTTAGAATATTGTGATGAAGATGAGATTCATTCTGTTTTCTGTCCCTTAGGTTCTTCAATTGTTCCTTTTGAAAAGTCTGTCATTTTGGGATATTTCACTTTTTTCTTATCCAGTTCTTCTTGTGACCATAGCAACAGTTTTAGTAAATTAGCTAACTTAGGAGTAGCATCCACTTCCAAAATAGCAGCATTCAATTCACTTGCCACCTGAAGAATAAAGACACATTGCATAGAATCAAAGTTACAAGTATCGGTAAACAGGATATCTTTTACTGTATAAACTATTGTTTTACCCTGATCAAAGCGATTAATTTTCACTCAAATAATTTCTTTTTTTTCTCAGTACCAAATAGATGCTTTGATCATAATCTGAAAGTTTAATGTGATGACCAACCTTTTGCCTCTGTGAAGGATGAAGCAATTCTCCAAATGGTGAATTTTCTGGATTCTCAAATGCAAGTAGTGCTAGAGTTCGTTCCAGCTCTGATAAGATTTCTGGATTTTCTTCTCCCCTCTCTGCTAGATGGGTTTGAGCATATTCTAAAGCTGCTTCAACGTTTTTATCACGGATTAACTCAATCAGCTGTTGTTGCTGAAGATACAAAAAAATTAGTGATGAATAAACATGACACAAATATACATGATCTTAGACAAATCTGTTTGTATAAAGTGTTATAAATACAAGTTAAAACTGACAGTATCATCAACCTACCTGTAAATGAAAATACAGGTATCTGTCATTATCAAGTAATTCTGGGTGAATATTGTTAACAAGGGAGATGGCATCTTGAATTTTCCCTTCCTGAATCGCTTCTCTGATTTTTATTCTTTCATCCAACTGGTCAAGATCAATAGATGGCTGGACACCCGATTCCACTTTAAACTTTTCAGCTGCTTCCTTGAAACCCTCTGTCAAGAAAACATTACATATGTGTAGATAAAGATTGAAATGTACGAAAAAGTGAGAAAACAGATACAGAAATGTTCCTGGTACATACAGATGAGTAGAACTGGGACATTAATACATGCAATCTATTGAATCAGTGAAAATGATAGATTCCATAATTTTTTTCATCTGAAATAGGAAAACACTTGGATAGAAAATTGGTACAGAGCTGTTCTGTTGGGGGAGGAGGGGGGGGGGGGGGGGGGGGGGGGGGGGGGGGGGGGGAGAATGCAATTTGAAAGGAATGTTAAGATATGATTATCTGATTATCTCCCTTTGACCAATGGAAATATCAATCAACCAGTTTTTTGCCACTGATACCAAAGGCAATGAAATGCTTTGTTAACAGATATTTATCATGGCCTTGGCTTGTTTTACAATGATTATAATACTGGTACTTGCTCATGATTTGCCACTTTTATAAAATCAGTTTGAAGACTATACAGATGTAATACATTAATAAAGAGAATAAAAACTGAAAAATCATTTTGTTGTGGGTTTTTAAAGTCATTTCTGCACTTTTCCCAGAATTCCTATGCCCTGATCACTATGATGTTCACTATACCTGTGACCAAGTAATTCATGATCAAGTTGTTCATATCAGCGCGGGTGATGTGTACATTGTGTAGCTTATCCATCCATTCATCCTTTCCCACATCATCATTTTTTTCGGCACTAGCACGACCTCCAAAGTTCATGTTGATTTCTGTTACAAGAAAGATATAAACATCAGGACATTTTTTTTCGTATCTGGAATTTGCTATATTTATTAGTGCTTCCCTGCATATAGCAGATCTATGAAGGCAACTTCCTTTAGCAATCAGGGACTTTTGGGTCTTGAATATTATTGTCCTGGGCTCATATTTTTCCTAGTCTAGTAAATTAACTTGGTTGAAGCACAAGGTTTGTAACAACATTTTCTTTGAATTCTTTTTGTAACATGCCCTTGTCTTTGTCTAGGATGGTTAAATTAGTAACATCAAAATGTATTGTAAAATTCAAATTTCAGATAACATAATGTAGCAGTTTTCCATTTCTTAAAAATTCAATGCCAGTTTTTCACAAATATACTCTAGTATTTGCATCAATCAGTGTTACTATAGGGCAAGGTGTCTGAATTAACTTTTGAGGGAGCAAGCAAATGACAAAACTGTGTAAAATCGAAATATTTAGATATTAAAGAAAATGCTTCCGATGGGAAATAGAGACTTTGAAGGATTCAATGGACTTATTTTGTTTCACTCCAAAACAACACAAGGGTTTAATTCTCTCAACCCTGTACATTTTCATATTGAACTGTATATATGTAAATCTGTATATTCCACTTAATTCTGACGTGGGGCATCATCTTTTATATATATCTGCTTTGAGTTAATGAACGTCAGAATGATGTACCTTTTAAAAAGTGAGGAAAATAAGCAACCCATGCATGGATCGGCATTTAAACAATAGTTATGGATAGAAATAATAATGTTCACATGAATCGAAAGAGTCATTTATCTGCCTCATTTTCTATAGGGACATAGTTTTAACGTTTGTCGACTTCAGGCCGATGACACGTCAGGATAATTCGGATTAATAACCCAATGTACGTTATTTCATCTAGAGAATAAGCCTAAAATAAAAGCTAAATAGATTGAAACTACCGGAGGACAACCAAATTCGACTCCGTGTCCTGCAATGTGAATTGGAAACGAAAGCCGAGGGTCATCGTGCTGGTTAAAACGCATAATTAAGCTAAGAGCTGACAAATCAAACAGAACATTTTGGATAAAAATGTAAATTTAAACAAATAAATTACCAAATAATGGCAACGATTTTATCGTGTCGACTCCAAATCAGACCAAATTTTAACTTAAATGTTGCCACTGTCACATTTCTGCTTTGTTTACTCCATGGCGGAAGTGAAAGAGAAAAGCCGGATGTGCACTGTACGCATGCGTAATAGCTTTGGCTTGAAGATGCAGTGATTAATTAATTTTAGTAACATTAAAAGAAGATCATCATCCGTTGAGTGCAAAGTAGGATGTGTTATGTCTTCACATGGCCGAAATAATTGATTGGTCCTGTGGTTAATCTTTCACATCTTGTCGTGACAACGCCTCGAGAAAACAAGATGGCGGATGAGCAGCCTTGTAAATTGCTCCTGTATTAGAGACATGTAAACTTCCGCATAATTTACCTTATTAAGGGTACTGAGCCCCCATTTCCAGAAAGGACGATATGGCTGAAAGGTAGGCATTCCTTGTATTATATATTTTCTATTTGCTTATTATTTTGATGAAATCAAGTGACGTTTGGTAGTTTGACAGTTCTTGAGGTTCAAAAGATGAAGGTGTTGGCTGTTGCCTTGCGCATGACTCCAACAGTAGTCGAAATGAATTCACACTGGTTTCAGAGGCTGTGAGTCTATGCTTTTTATTTCCAGAATGTCGATTTTGAAATAAGTTTTAGGCATGTTGCATTGCATCCTTTCAATATGTACCTTCATTTATTATTTAAATGAATCAAATGCAATACACAACGAAATGCAGGCATACTAAAACAAGAAGGGGCACCTGCTATCAAACGGGCATGTTATGACGATCTGATGTGCGATTTACTTTAACTTTCCATTTCAAGTTAATTTTTCTTCGTGAAATGTTGACATATAGCCGCCACATTGGTAGTAGGATAGCTCCAATGTAAACAATAGTTTTGACATTATGCCAATTCAACTCCTTGGTGCCATTAAATAGACATATCCTATAGCGAAACTTATAATGTCTTATTCAAATTAAAATAGCAATAGGTTTCGTAAGATTTATTGGTTTAAGTTACATAAGATATAGAATTGACAGTTCACTGTTTTATATTATTTACGGTACTATTATACACATGCACAGTTCGCTCACGGATATAAATAGTACGAGTTGCATCCTATTCTCACATTCCAATGAATCATTAGTGATTAAGTGCTAATGTATTATTAAACTTGTGTGTTATATGACGCAGAATATATTCCTGATGTTGTTTTTATTCTACATGATGCATATTCTCTTCATTGATGATTTGTTTATTAGTTAAATAAAAGTTGTATATAAAGCCCACCCTATTTTTAAAGCATTTCCATATATACTATACATATGCTGTTGTGATATAGAATGAGGCCCTATTGTGGTATCTACGTTATATTAATGTTAAACATTTTACATCCATGAAATATTGATCGCATTACATCCCCTGGTTTTGCTGGAATGTCGGTGTAAACAAATGTGAACTGTGGATTTGAATGAATTTCCTTCTACTCATGATCTCCTGTCATTGTTAATAATAGCCCATATCTGCAGGTCATATGACCAAGAAAAGTTTGTATAATGTCTGGATATGTATACAGCTGTATACTATAATTGGGTATATTGATCACTGCGATAATAACAAGTCATTACAACTGCAAGTTTAAATGACATACCCTCTTTATTTTTCTTACTTTTTTGTTTTTCTTTTGAATAGAGATATAATAATTATACATGATAGTAAGTTAATAGCTATGGCTTGACTGTTAGAATGTATGCTAAGATGGCAGATTTATTTTATTTATTCTTTAAAGCTTGCTTATTTCAGTTTTCTGTTTTGTTTTTCTTTGTATCTGATATAAAACCAATATGTAATGTACTCTTCCTGCTCTTGTTTGGATGGTTTGCCTTTGATGTTTCCAGCAACAACAAGAAATTCCAAGAAACTCCACATTTTTATAAAATAACCTGTAGTTAGCAATAACTATAAATTAACAAAACTGATAAAGTTAGCACAAAATTATCATGGTTTATCATTCTTTCAAAATCATTCGCCCAGAGATATATAGGTAAGATCACACTTGTACTGCTCTGAACATATGTGTTACAGCATTTTCCTATTGTATTATGTATAGATGTGATGGTACATTCCTCAACAAAGAAGGCAGAGTATGCCTTGCCTGTCTGTAGCATTATTGGTACTGAATGGTATGTGATGGTGCTGAGTATGTATAGGGATCCTGGAGAGGGGGATGGCCACTAGGGATTGAGTAAGCCTGTCTGGGTTAAAGCAAAGCATTGATTTCCTCTACATATTCTGCTACATTCAGGCAGATAGGTGGCATAGTGTAGTTTAGTAGGTGTGAGCTAGGTCTATCATACATTATATAGTATACATGTTTTCCATGACAGTCAGCAGGGATATATCCCCTTTGTACACTTTTATTGAGCTTAAACAAAACAATATCTAGATTCTGTCAAAGGGTGCATGCATTGAAAATTCCATTTTGCACAAAAAATATCGGTAGAAATTTTTTGTCCTGGCAAAGCTGTTCAAAGCTAAAACAAATGTTTAATTTTCTTTTTAATCAAGATTCTTTTGATTACAAGAATATGTATCAAAATGTATCACAAAGAACATATTTCATTGGTGGGTCATTGATACTGGTATCCAAACCATGTTTCATATTTTCATTTTATTTTGTAATATCTCACCATCAGGATGTGATATCTTAATATTGTCTAGTATCATAAAATGTGAGATATTTCAATAGGTAATTACAAACCGTTGTATACAATATGACATGATTGTATTCAGGATCACTGCAGAGTTGAGTTGTCATGTGATAAATTCTCACTGTAAATGTTCTAGAGATGTCATACCTGAGTTAGCTTGTATTATTTTAAGGCAAAATGCCAATACAGAAAATCAACTTCTACCTGTAGATAGCCACATGTACATGTAACCAGGATTGGTAATAAGATATTAATGCAGGGTTGTTACCAGGATATGAGCACAGTGTTATTAGGATGTAAACACAGGATTGCTATTAGGTTGTAACACAGGGTTGTGATTAGGTTGTAACACAGGGTTGTTATTAGGATGTGAACACAGGGTGGTTATTAGGTTGTAACACAGAGTTGTTATTAGGTTGTAACACAGGGTTGTTATTAGGATATTAACACAGGGTTGTTATTAGGATGTTAACACAGGGTGGTTATTAGGATGTTAACACAGGGTTGTTATTAGGATGTTAACACAGGGTTGTTATTAGGATATTAACACAGGGTGGTTATTAGGATGTTAACACAGGGTTGTTATTTGGATATGATTACTAGTTTGAAATTAGGATGTGGACAAAGGGTTGTTATCAGGTTGCAACACAGGGTGGTTATTAGGATGTGAACACAGGGTGGTTATTTGGATGTGAACACAGTTTTTTTTTATTAGAATATGAACACAGGGTTGTAATCAGTATGTAAGCACAGGGTTGTTATTAGGATGTAAATTCAAGGTTGGTTTCGAGGATTTGTTCATTTACAGTATATTAGAAAAATTCATAAAATTTCCAAATGCTGATGGGTTAGTAAAAGGACTTTGTTGTTTGACCCGTGCACATGGCAAATAATTTACATATAAATGAAAACACTGGGTTGTAGAACATAGTATCATATTTAAGATGTGTGATGTTGCCTGTCTACCTGTTACCGTGTTTTCATGAATAGTTTAGATGTTATTGCAGTCTCGCTTTCAAGCTTACTATCTGGAACATTTAAACAGACAACAGATGGCATTATAAAAACAGACTTGTACACAAATGCTAGATCAATGTACTCAAAAAACCTTTACCATGTTTTTTTCTAATAAAAGACATGATTTTTTTAATGTAGTATTACCTTTAGAATTCATTTCACTGTTCGCCTTGATGATCATAGACATTAGCAATATTCCTGTGTTTTTAAACCAAAATTGTCTGCCTGTGTAGTGTGATATATTATTGATGAATGGGGAGGATATTAAAGTATTTGTCAGATGCATAAATAAGTTATTTTTAATCTGTCTGTGATGGATGCCAAGTTGAATAGATTAATCAATATGCGGGGGTCTATCAAATTAATTCTATAATAACACGTTTGGCTGTCATGGGTATTTTTTCCCGGATTCTATAATTTTTGCCTCAGTGGGATGGAATTATTAAATTGTGTATGGTACTAATGTTAGTTCTTCTGAGAATTGACAAAAATGTGAATGAATGAGGCTGTTTCCCAATATTTTTCTTGACATCATTCACCTAGATTGTATCTAGTACTTGTGTATTTCGTGTGATGATTTGAATGATGTAAAAAACTTAATTATTATAAGCGACCTCTGCAATTATCTAATGTTGATTACTTTCTGCATGCCAACTCATTTCACCTATCAAGATGAAACCATTGTGGTTCTATTCGACATATTGTATTATATTAGCAACAGTGAAATTTCAAATATGGGAGTCGCATGGTCGGCTAAATTACATGCATGAGGTTTTTCCCTGTAGTGCGGTGTGCGTGCAGGTCGTATGATGATCAAGATCTAATTGTTATTCAAAGCTTTTAAAGGTCTGATTTAAATTTGAATGCACAAGAAGGTCTTGTGAAATTACAGGATTTATTATGCAGTGCTGTTGACGAGGTGTCATCTTCCTGGCATTCTAGTTCTTGTATTGTTTACTGTTGGTACTGAGGGCACACAGATTAAAATGCTTGTCTTAAGCCTTTAGATTTTTTTTAGCAAATGATGAATTGGTTCTATTTACGATTTCTGATATAGGTATCATTTATTGATTTATACAATGAAAATGTCTTTAAAATTGTTATTGATTCAATTACAACTGATTTTTATTTGAAATCAATACATTATGGTTTGAGAGAAACTACCTTCATTTTGTTGGTAAATGTCAGGCATGTGGACATTGATCGATATGAAATAGCATTACCAAAGGAAACCTGCGGGATGCAGAAATTTACAAGGGAGCATCTCAACACAAAACTTGGCTCAAGATCTGAACTTGTCATTTGAATGTTTGACATCATATGCTTTAGTGTAGCTGACATATGATCTAGATCTACAATATTTATCCTGTAACAAGCCCAGAGGCAAGAAAATTACCTCAGAAAATAGGAGACAGATCTTGATACAGGACATGGACTCAAGCTTTAACTCTATAAGTAAAACAGAGTGTTCCAGAATTCATTTCATTGACATTGTGTCCTATCCTGAGACTTCAGATTGGTACCATAGTGAAGAAAAGTGACGGGTTAAAGGAGGACTATAAGCCCACTCTTAGTCATGA